GGACTTTCTAAGGAAACTGGCTCGTATAAACGTTGCACATGGGGAAATTCACGAAAACGTCGATGCGGCCAGCTCGTTCGTGGGATTCAAAGCCTCGGAGCAAACTACCTGCGTTCAGCGACTCTACTGCTCGGCGGCTGGTGGGCTTATTAGCAGAATTATACTGCGTTATTATTGTATTATGCTATAAAGTAACAATGCTGTAAGACTGAGAGTTTGTTCATGGAATAGTACTTTTGTAACCTATTATAGTATTAAAAAATCATTGTTTCTTTGCAAACTAAAAAAAAATACTGTTCATAGCATTTTTATATTGTAAAAGAAATATTGATTATTATTAGTTTTCTATTTAAAATGTGTCGAAATGCTGGTTTGACAAGGACTTCAACTGCAGGAGACCTACACTGATTTTTACTTTAGTACTTGCATTGTGAAAATATTACTATCTTTTAATTATATTCACAGAATAAAATCTTTTGAGAAGGAAGAATATTTAAACTAAGCAGTTCTTATATATATATAAAATTAAAGTAACAGCAATGTAATATTTAAAAAAAAAAAGGTATTAGTAATTGTGTGACAAAAAGTGCAAAACAAATTAATCACGCATACAAGATAGATTAGGTTAATTTTGGTTTATATTTTATATTGAAAAAATATTTTCTTTTCGTGTTAATTATAGAATAAATTATTTAAAATAAAGCATTTTGATGCGTGTGTGATAGTTGAATGCAGCAGCAATCGGCCATACTGTAATAGCGAATGAATTTTATTTCTTTTCCTGAAAGAAATAATTTTCATGAAAAAAGAAAATAAAAAAAGGGGAAAAGGGAAGAAATATTTTCTTTCTAATTTCTTACTTAAAGAAATATTTTTCCAATATTAACTGTAAATTGAGGGAAAACAGTTTTAATGTAAGCATGAAAAAAAAAAAAAAAAAAAAAAAAAACTTAGTTTGCTATTTGATTGTAATGCAAATTAATCATATTAGAAATTTAAATGATTAAAATTGTTTATTTCTAAAAGGATTTGAAGTAAGCTTAATTCAATTTATTCTTATCTATTTACCATTGCTTTTCGTGGTATCCCATATGACTCTTTATTTTCTAGCTCTAAAATTCCTGCGTTAACTTTCCCCTTAAAAAACAGGATTTTCCTTCACATAACACAGCAGTATATTCTGCTGCGTGTTGGTCATAATACTACTGTTTTGTGCAATTTTTTTTCGAACTACAAATGCAGCGTGTGAGCTAGTAAAATAATGGGAGAATATTCCTAGAACTTCAGCCAGCGCGCGCTATAAATTTCGTCACTCGTCTGTAGTGCCATTGGTCTAAAGCTCCTTGAAACCTTGTCCCCTTTCAGTAAAGTCAAATAGACCCACTCGCCCACCAACTGAAGACCACAGAATGGCTTTCTCCGATAAGTTGTGATGGCTGTCCATACCGGTTTTTTTGAGTCAGTATTGTTCGCTCAAGTTGTAGACAGATCCAGTGATCATAGAATAGGCGTCCAGGAAAGACCTTCCTCAATTTTGCAAAGGAGAAATTCCCTAAAGGCGAAGTCCTTGCTTACCAAAGGGATAAAGTTGTGGCTTAGAAATGGCAGGTCAAAAAGTGTGGTTTTTTTATGAATACAACTCATAATGCAAGTTCCTGTTTGGTGAAATGCAAGTCAAACAAACGAAACCATTTGTTGTTTGTGATTACAATAACACGATGGTTGGGGTTGATATATGTGACCAAGAAATGTCATATTTTCCCACTCTCAGAAAACAAGGAAAATATTACATAAAAATTTTCCGACAATTCATGGATCAATCATTGTGGAATCCTTTATAAAAACCCTTTATAAATCCTTCATAAAATACTTATATCCTTTATAAAAAGGATAACCCATTTCAAAATATAACTCTTTTAGAGTTTCGTTTGAAACTATTGAGCTAAGCATTCAAAAGTATTCGTGGAAATTCCAATGTTAACCCTGACAGATGTAATTCTCAGTCCCATGAGACTAGCTGCTCGACATTTTGCTATCCATATACCCCCAATCCCATCAAGAAAAAGTCTCGTTGACAAATAATGGGGAGTGCTGCTTGTTGCTAAAAAAACTGAAGCTGGCAAAAACATTCACAAAGCAACCCACATTGGCACATTTGGTGCAAAGATTGCAAAGTAGGACTTGTCTCAAGCCTTGTTTCAAAGTTTATTACTAAACTTAATTTCTAATAAATGTATTTTTAAGTAATTTGCATATTTTTATTAGTATATACGTTTTACTTTTGTATTTCATAAAGTGAATCATAACTTGACCAAGATGAATTTTCAAAATTTTTGCTTTGATATTATTATTCTTCTATTTCAATTTTCCGACAACCCTTTTTTTTAATGTTCTAATTATATATTGGGGGGGGGAAACTCTTTCACAAAAATTTTTGTGTATTTTAACTGAAGTATGTAATAAAAAAATAAGCAATTTTTGAACCTATTTTGATAAAAAAATTATGCAGCAAGAGGGTTAAATCAGTACAGATTGTTTCCATTTCGAATTGATGAAAGTACAGATTTCCTGGCAAATTTCATTGAGAAATGATTTTGAAAATACATCCAATGAACAGTTTCTTATGTTGCAAACCATCGAATACAGGAACAGCAGCAGAAGAAATTTCACTTCATTGAAACTTACATCAGGTAAAAACCATTGCCTGGAAAAAATGCATGTGACTAAGCAGTAATGCTTCTTGCACAACGGCCGGCATCCATGCAGAATATTTTCCAAAAACAAACGACCTGACACCAAAATGTGTTTGGCTGCACTGCAACACATTCAGAAAAGCCTACTTAAAAGGATGTCATGCTTTTCCAAAATGCTATGCAAGAGTGTATGAAATGTATGAGCGTTTAAAGCACCATCCCTTAAATTACAGGTTATTCAGTGCAATATGAAAAGAGATGGGCAATGAGCATGAACCTCTTTTTTTACATTGTGAAGTACATTGCTTATCCAGAGGGAATGTATTAAAAAGACCGCCACTAGTTGTTCAGGATGTTGTTTTAAAAAAACAACATCCTGAACAACTAGCGACGGAATATTTGAATTTAAAGGTAATTTAATAATGTTGTCTTACCTTTATGACATTTTTTTTAATCAATAAAACCTTTCATTTCAAGGCAACAGTGTAACTGTATTTAAAGTGACAGAAAAAATAGAAGCTGTGATGAAAAAGCTCAGTTTATGGACCTTTTATGTGGAGTCAAGAAATTGTAATGCTTGTATGAAACTAATTGCAAAAAGAATACTATGTTAGAATGAAATATCAAAGAACATCTGATAGGATTGCAGACAAATCTGAAAGAATATTTTCCTTCAATTCATAACAATAAAGCATGGTTAAGAAACCCTTTCATAATTAATTATGGGGATGAAATAGTTGTATTCCAATATTGAATCCATAATTGATGTAGCGCTTAAAGGCAGCTTCGATAAAATACCATTGGTAGATTTTTTTTTTACTATCCTGTCATCAAATGTTTTCATTTTTTGCACAGAAGTCAATCCTGATGCCTTTTATTACAAACTTAAGAATGTGAAACAGACTTCTTGATACTTGTCTAAAAATAAGTGCAGAAGCCTATTAGAGATTAAAAATAAAGCAAAAGATTTAAGAATAAAGACCAGATTTAAGAATAAAGCAAAAAAATTTTTATTGTTTTGCATTTTTGTATGCATTTTTGGTACTTTCACAGTAAAGGCAAAATATTTTAACATAAAAGTTTTTAAAATTTACTAATAAGCTATAAACCTTTTTACTGGGCCATGGAGAAATGGTAAAACAAGCTGGTCATGAAAAAAAGGTTTGGGAAACCCTGCTTGGGCATATGCCTATTGTGTAATTTCCCTGACTGAAGACCAAAAATGATAAACAGATTATTATTAATTCAGAGGTAGGTTTTATGTTATTTCGTGAACTTGGCTTTTCTGTGATTATGATGTTTTGGCTCTTTTGGGTATGTTCTAATTTCATTCTAAACAATATTTTTATTAATGTAATTAGTAATTTAACTTATTTCAGTGCTGCTGTTTCGTTATTGTCCTGCTTTGCTTGTGCATTATTTAATGCTTATTTTTATTATATTTTAATAGTTGATCATACAGATTTAAAGTTTGTGAGATAATTAAAATAGGCATTTTTAGATTGCTGTAATAAACTACTACTTTATTATCATCTGTATGATATTATTATGTCAGCCTAACCAAATATGTTTGTTTCTGTATTTGTGTATTTTATTGCTTTTATTTATTTTTAAACCATTTGTGTATTTTATTGCTAAACTAGAATTATACTTTATTACTTCAGTTCATGAGAAAATGTATTCCATATTTTATGTTGTGACTAAGTCAATTTTTGTGATTTCTTTTAAATTTTGTTTAGAATTATTTTAGAATGGTTGATTACTTTAAAATTACTACTTATCATCAAAAACATCAATTGATAAAAGAATATGAATAATTTATTTTTCTTATTTTTAATATATTCCTCAGCAGAGGTATAAATTTTTTTAAACATCATATTTACTCATATATTTTCTTTCCAATTTTCCGGCTTGTAAATTGGAAGGAATAAGTATGCAATGTGTGCTATTTCTGAAGAGATGGCTGAAATAATAAACATAGCACATCAGAAAGCGTACATAAAAATGCACTAATATTATCATAATATAATAATAATACATAATAATGCATTTCAAAGGACTTGTAAATTTCAGTAATACTCTTTTTTACTTACAAATGTATTTTTTATTTGTGTGTACATTTTAACATTGTTACCCTAAATCAGAGGTTTCTGAATGATATAAGCGAGCTAAGGTAAAAATTAATTAAGGAAGAGAAATATGCGAGTGAATGTGGTATTTGTTATTTATGTGAAATATGATGTTTTTGTTACAGAATGGTCCTATTTATAACAGTATTTAAATTTTTTTTATTACTTTATTTGAAAGGGAGCTTTGAGCAGTTGCCTAGTATGCTTGAAGTTTGTGGAAGCTGGCCAGAGAGTTGTCCCTCTATGAATCTGAATAAAGGCAAAGAGGAACAACTAAAAGAAAGTTTAGCTGATGCAATGATCGAATATCCATTTGATGCATTGCGTGGCGAAGGTTGTGATGCTCGAGGTTTGTTTACAACCTCTTTCTATTTTTATGTAGATAATAATATCAGTAAGCTGAATGAAAAGTTTTGAAACTGATTCTCCGATTCAGAATTAGATTTTTCTATTGGCTATGTATCCCCTCCAAATTCCAATCCTTCATTTTTTGCATTGTTCATTTGTAAATTCATTTCATTTGTAAATGATTCAAAAACTTGCAAACAGATGGACTGCTTTTTGAAATTCTGCTTAGCATTGCAGATTTAGTGTTTATCACTTTCTCATTTGATGAGAATGTCTTTTTGTGTAATTGACTTTTCATTGTTTAGAACATTCAGAAATTACATGTAACTAAGCTGTATGTAGATATATGTATTTATGCATCGATTGTTCAGTGTTAACACTTTGATTTCAGGCAGTACAGCTAGTTTCACAGCAGCAACATGCATTTGGGCATTTTCCTGAAATAAAACTACAGCTTATGAACAATGTGGCCTTTTGTTTACTTCCTGGCGAGTGATTTTTCATTATCTTTGTATAATAATTTCTATTTGTTATCTGCCCATAGGTATGCAACACTGACATCCATAATAGAAGTGGATAACCTGTCAATGTGCGGTGTTGATCATCAATGTGTTACTAATTTGAAATGGTTCTGTTATTGTAATGCTGAAGCCTAGCTAAATGTATCATCATCATGTCTGTATTGAGACATTTCAAGTCTTGTATGCAGCTCTTTCTTCTAAGATCAAGTCAAGTTCAGTCCATCTGTGCCATATACAGACATTTTTCTTTCTTCCCCCTGGCAAAAATCTGCTTAAATACTTTCAGTCACTGTGATCAGATACTGAAGACAGGTTGTCTAACTCCATATTCTGTCATGGTGATGAATAACATTAAAAAGCTTGGTATAGGGTTGCTATTTTATATACCAGGAAAGATATAGATATAGCAACTGTATACCAGGAAAGATAAAGAGATCAAGGAAGAGGTATAAAAGCAGTTTTAAAACTTTTCACTCAGGCCTTGTAGATGCATATGAATTATGTGCAAATTTTCGTTGGAAATCTTTATTTTATTTTATTAGATGTTTCTTACTCATGTAAAAATCACAGACATCAAAATACGGAATTAATTGTGAAATAAAATGTACTTTTTCAGTTTGATTAAAAAAATCTAAACTCCGCTCTAAGTGTGCTGAAATTATAATCACAGTTTTATATTTCATTCACTGATGAACCTTATTTGCTTGATATTTTTGTAGTTTAGTGCAATTAATTTTTAATGCAGACCAAAGATCTTTTTTAAATTTGTAATCTAATATACATTCACTGCCGTTGAAATTTGCAGACCAAGAAGTAGTTGTAGAATCATAATGAAACTTTATATGAGTAGAAGCATTTTACTTATACTTAACTTGTTGCAAATGTGTTTTATTGATACCTTGATACCTGTTTGTTGTTCCATTTTTTTCCAGGAAATTAAAAGTAGATTTAAACACATTGCTGCTTGTTTTTTATTGATGCAGTCCTACTGATTTAACACTGTGTGTGAATAGAAGGTATTTCATATTTGAAAACTGGGTGTAAAATATGTTTTTGATAATATGTGGAGTTGATCTTAACTCTCCGTTCTGTTCATTTTTAGTTTGCCGTTTTATGAAAAATCAGCAATAATCATAAATCTCTTTGAAAAACTTTCTTTAGACTCCCTGAACCATGTTTTAAGATTTTTTTCCCCTCCTCTTTGATGATAGTAAATGAAACTCCTTTCATTGAAGTCATTTAAGTACATCCAAGATTTATGTATTGTGACAAAATTTTCCATTATTCTCTGGATAAATGTTTCTCATAAAGAATTTTGTAGCGCGTTCTGCATTCGACGATATATCATGGAGAAAGACAATGCACGTTATGTTTTTTCGCCTTTTTAAGATTCAAATCAGCATTAATCACTTTGTTTACAGTTGACACTGAGCATTGTAATGATTTTGCCAACTGTCCCTTTGACTTGGTAGATTTTGTTTTAACATTAAGTATCTTACTTATGCAACATATGAGACATTCCATTTCCCCCTTGGATATGTATTTGGAATAGTTTTTCCAATTGAAGCTAAATTTTGACATTTCCCCCTTTGTTGACTATATCATAGCTTTAGATATAAAAAAAACATGGCTTTCATAACATTTTTTAATAACTAGATATGAATAATTTTCTTCGGAAGGAACACAAACAGCCTTCCATTCACTGCATCTTTGAAAGTGACATTTTGCATGAAAACAAAGCTGTCAAATAGCATACTATAACTTACTTCTAAAAATATAATTGCAATTAAAAAAAATTCCAAGCAGAAGTTTTTTTTTTTTTTTTTTTTACAGCGTAGCAAAATCGTCTAAAACATATGCAAACCATCATCTGTAAAATGTTTTTTTTGGGGGGGAGGAGTCAAAAAAAAGTTTTAAAAGTATTCACACTTACAAAAAAGGATTTACTCTCCAGGTGTTGGTTACTTAACCATTTGAAATGATTTTTTTTAGTTGTTAGTTTTATAATAGGCTGGATTCTTGGCATATAAATTTATAATAATGCATCCTTACTATACTATAATAAGTGCAGCTGAAAGTTTTTTTCGTGTACCTTACCGAATAGTGCGACTCCTTATTTCCATGAAAAGTTTGCTCACGCTTTAAAGTCTGATGCAGTGATTGAAAATTTGCTATAAATCTTGAAGAGATTTTATGAAAATGATATTAGAACATCTTTGAGAATTAGAAAAAACTTGGGCATAAGTACCATGCACCCAAAGGAGATTAGTTTGCAGGGGATGTAATGAGCACTAAGCAACAAACTAAAAATAATGTGCTTTATGAAGTCATTCCTGTTACTTTTTTATCACATAACAAAGTTTGATTTATTTTAAATTTGTACATAGTTTTGAGTTCTGATTCATTGTATCTTTCAGTTTATGCATACTCTTAATCATACAATATTCTAGATGTGATGATAATTTGAAACAATATTTTTTTAATAGATTTTCAAGGAAGCTGTGAAGAACTGAGCTCAAGCAGTTCCCACTCAGGATCTGTAGGCCATGTCTTTGATGTTGGGACATCACCTCAAAGTTGTACAGAGCATACTTTGGTATTTCCTGCTAGTAGGGGCTCTCCAGACTCTTCTTAACATTTCATATTTCCAAATGTAAATGATTTTTTTTCTTCCCCATAATACAGTAGAAAGTCTGTAATCCGGACGTCCATTACCCAGAATGATCTATAATCCGGACCTCAAAGCCACAAACTTTTTTTTTTGTATGCTTTACACATGCGCGTTTAGCACAAAAAATGAAGCAACTTAAACAACTTGCATTGAAAGAAATGTTTAATAAAATAAACAAATAAATATTAAGCTTTTTTTTTGTAAATTTTGATATCCTTTAGATTATAATTGCTCTTTATTTCATAAATTACGGTTTCATATTTTAATTGTATAATTTCTGCATGCCATCTTACCAGATTTAAATTGATAATCTATAATCCGGAAAAACCCTTAAACCGGAATGGCCGAAGTCCCGACGAGTCTGGATTACGGACTTTGTACCATAGTTCAATTTAATTATAAAATTTTTTTTCTTTATTTGATCTATAATGGGTTGCAAATTATAACAAATTTTTTTGCCTTCCAATTAAACAGAAGGGGACATTTTTTTTTTAGTTTCATAGTGATTCATAGTTCTTTTTAGTTATTTAAAAAAAATATTATATGTATAGAATATTAAATTAAGACCCATACTTTGCCACACACATAGCTGATTCAAGTATATAAAAAAATCAATTGTGAAATTTAGCAGAAGAAAGTACATTAAAAATAAAATTACTTCATTTAAATTGGAAATGCTGACATATTAATATATATTTGCATTTTCTTCTTACGGATAACTTAAAGAAGAAAACTTAAATGGATAATTTAAAGAAATTCGTAGTGACGGCAGGGAGCAATTCTGGTGGATTTAAATTTTTATCCATGCCTTCTTGTTGAGTTATCCACATATAATGGGAAGCCCTCTTGGCAATTATATAAGACATGGTTTTATATAGTGGCGGAAGCAAATGGATAAGATCTCCAAGCTAAGGCCTGTCATGTCGTTGCTTCTCTGAGAGCAGACGCAACGAATATCCTTCAGACTCTTCCCGAGAACAAAAGGCTTGATTTCGAAGCTCTGTCCAGTGTGTTAGAGATGCGCTTTGGGAAGAAGTGTGTAAAAGACTACACCAGGCTTCAATTAAAATCCCATCAACAGAAACAGTCCAGGAGCTCGCCATGGATGTTAAAAGACTGTCCCACTTCGCCTTTTTGGAGTGCCCGACAGAAACAAAAGAAATCCTGTCCCTGCAATACTTCATGGGTGGCATTCAGGAATTCGGAAATATGGATGGCTGTACGAATGGTGAATGCCAAAGACTTAAAAAGCACTCTTGTGTACGCCATGAAATTCGAGGCAGCCCAGCGAGCAACTTGCAGAGATTGCCACCCAGTCAGAGCTGCTCAAGTAGAAGAGCCAGTAGATTGACTGCTCATCTAAACAATTTAACTAGATTCAGGAGCCAATGTTCCTATCATCAGAAAAGATTTGGCTCAAGAAATGGAAGGTAAACTTATCTGGACGTCGGCCTGCGTTACCCTACAGACTGTGTCTGGCAAGAAGATCGATATTGACAGAATAGTTAAATGTTAACATCACGTTTGGAAGTGCCGCCTACCACCACACAGCATATGCAGCAGATATTACTGATCCTTGCGTACTCAAATTGGTCTTTCTAAGGAAATACAATTTTTCCTTGAACTTCAAAAATAACGAACTGCATTCTGCCTCTGAGGACATAACCCTTCAAATAAGTAATGGTGAAGAAGCTAAATCTATCCATCAAATCATAGCTCAAGACGATATCACAATACCCGCAAGAATAGAGTTTTTACTTCCCGGATCCATAGCCAAAAAATAGAAATTTCAGCTATGGCGTCATTGATTGTCCCATTAACTGTAACAGCCCGGAAGGAGTACTAGTAGCCTCAGCACTCATCAATCTATCAAGGATTTTTATCCCAGTGAGAGTCCCCAATGTAATTGACAAAGCGAGAGTTATTAAGAAAGGTGCAGAGGTTGCAGCATGTACTCCAGTAAGCAGCAGTGAAAGGAATAGTAACATCCCAAAATCCGTGCCTTCAGAGGTCATTGTATCAGAGTTATTGCAGAATGCACAATTAAATGATGAAAAGAGGAATGCTGCCAAAAGTGTCATTAAAGAAAGATCTTCAAGATGTTTTCTTCTGCTCGTCTCCTGACGTGGGTCAAACCAGTTTGATGCAACATAGAATCAATACCAGTGATTCGCCACCAATCAAGCAGCATCGAAGACGTCTGCTGATTGGTAAAAAGAGGTCAGAACACTCTTAAAGGACATAGAAGAAGGCAATGTCATCAAGCCTTCAGCAAGTCCCAGGGCTTGCTTTCGGAGCTACGAACGAGTCCACATGACTCAATCGCTCTGGGGAAAGTCCCCGGACATACTAGTATTGCACATCGCATGGAAAACCATGTTGTCCTTCTCTCGATCGAACCCATCGTCTTCATCAGAAAGAAAGATGGCTCAACAAGATTTTGCATTGACTATTGCCAGATGAATGAGGTTACGAAGAAAGATAGTTACCCTCTTCCTAGAATTGATGACATTCTGGACACTCTCTCTGGAAGCAAGTGGTTCTCAACATTTGATTTAAAGAGTGGTTATTGGCGGGTAAAAATACATCCTGATGACCAAGAAAAGAAGGCATTTTCTATGGGAGAAGGACTTTGGCAGTTCAAGGTGATGCTTTGGACTGTGTAATGCGCCAGCAGCATTCGAACGCCTCATGGAAACTGTTTTGAAAGCTTATGAAGTCTGTCTGATATACCTGGATGACATCATCATTGTTGGAAAGAGTTTTGAAGAACATCTAGAAAATCTTAGAAAAGTTCTTCAGAAATTGAAAGAAGCCAATCTTAAAGTTGAGTCCCACTAAATGCAAATGGCAGGAAGTGACTTTCCTCGGACATGTCATGTCTGCTGAAGGTGTGTGCAAGGATAGTTTGGATGACACCCCATTAAAGCTTAGAAATGTCCCGAAAATGTCCATCAGCTGAGAAGCTTTCTAGTACTTTGCACCTACTATAAGAGATTCGTGAAGGACTTTTCTTCCATCGCAAGACCCCTTCACAAGTTGACAGAGAGTAAGCAAAAGTTCTTGTGGACAAAAGAATGCGAGGATGCATTTAACTTAAAGGAAGCTTTAACATCTGCTCCAATCCTGACATATCCTCAGCTCAACAGACCATTTCAACATGGACAGGAGCAATGAAAGTGTCAAGGTGATGCTTTGTCCCAAGAAATAGACAGCGCCAAGAATGTGTAATGGCTTACTGGAGCAAGTGCCTGTCTAAAGCAGAGAGGAATTACTGTGTCACCAGGAAAATGTGGCTTGCCATAGTCAAATCCGTGGAACATTTCCATCGTTATCGATACGGCAGAAAATCCCTGCTGTGCATGTATCATGCATCATTGGCCTGGCTTTTAAATTTCAAGAATCCTGAGGGTAAAATAGCCAGGTGGATGCAGAGACTCCAGGAACATGACATCACTATCCGTCATCGGAAGGGATCATCACACGGAAATGCCGACACCCTGTCTAGAAAACCGTGCCCAGAAAGCTGCCGCTATTGTTCCAGGGTTGAAGTGAAATACAAGCTGTTGAGTCTAGTCGCACAACAAATTACAACATCAACATTGGCTGATCAGAGACCCAATAAGTGACAAAGAAGTCAGGAAAGACCAGCTGGAAGATGACAACATTAAACCTATAAATGAGTTGATGGAGTCTTCAAACAGAAAACCTACCTGGCAGGACATTTCAATCTATAGTCCTAAATAAAACAATACTAGGCATTCTGGGACTCTCTCTTTATTTGAAATGGCATTGTACCAGAAATTCGAATAGGATGATGGAAAGACATTCCGATGGCAGCTGAGCTGCTACTCCCAAGATCCTGGATCCCAGATGTCCTTCAAGAACTACATAGCAGCCCTGCAGGAGGTCACTTCGGAATAATGAGGATCTTGCAGAGAGTTTATGAGTGCTTCTACTGGAATAATGCAAAGTATGACGTGCAAAAGTGGTGCCAATCTTGTGATGCCTGTGGTTGGAAAGGACCGAAGAAACGCAGCTGAGGCAAGCTGCAATGTAGGAGCACCTTTTGACCATATCGCCTTTGACATCTTGGGACCTCTGTCACAAACTGCTAATGACAAGAAATACATCCTCGTTGTCATTGACTACTTCACCAAGTGGCCTGAAGTATATCCTATTCCTGATCAAGAGGCTGTCACAGTAGCAGATGTAATGATACAGCACTGGCTGTCCAAGTTCGGAGTGACTCTTCAGTTACATTCCGTTCAAGGAAGGAATTTTACCTCAGCTGTAATCTAAGAGTTCTGCAAGCTACTTGGCATTGACAAAACCCAAACGACTGCTTTACATTCCCAGTCGGACGGCATGGTAGAGAGGTTAATCGAACCATCCTACAACATCTCATTAGTGGTTTCTAGAAACCAACAGGACTGGGACCTGTGATGTCTTGTGATCTTTTGTTTGGTCGCCCTCCGGATGCGCCTTCATTGCCTGAGGAATACATTCAAGATCTCCAGGCCTGGTTTGAAGTGATGCACAACTTTGCACAAAAGCGAGTCAACTTGGTGATGGAGAAGATGAAGACCCGATATGACATAAGAGCTACTGGACATCAATTCAACGAAGGAGACAAGGTGTGGTTGTGGAATCTGACTCGATGGAAAGGACTCTGTCCAAAACTATAGTCACTTTGGGATGGTCCATATACAGCCCTAAACAGGCTGAAGGACGCTGTGGTTCGTATCTGTAAGACATCGAACTCTAAACCTAAAGTCGTTCATTACTATGGCCACAGAATGGAAAAATAAGCAAAGCAGGTGTTTGAGTCCCCCATAATCTGTCCAGAAAGAACAAAGCCAACCTATCATCACATGCAACATATTGCTTCAACGGCACCATACAGAACTGTTTTTTGATTGTTTGATTACTGGAGACAAAAAAATAAGTCCTATATGATAATCCAAAACTCAAAAGGCAGTTTTAATAGGGGTTACAAAGGGTTTACATCCCGAAAAGGCGCTTCTGGGTGTTTGATGGAGTATTCGCGGAATTGTTCATTTTGAATTGCTGAAACCGGGAAAAACTGTTAATGCAGACCTTTATTGTGAACAATTGGATGGAGTCAACCAATCTTTAAATTTAATCGAAAAATATCAATTGTCAACAGAAAAGGCACCATTCTGCAACATGACAATGCAAGACTGCACTGTGCAAGACGAACACTGTAAAAAATTAATGAATTGGGATGGGATGTACTGCCATACTCACCCACCATACTCGGCCGATATCGCAGCATCCATTTATTCGGATCCCTGCAACATTTTCTTAGTGGCAAAAAATTTGAAAATTTGGATGATGTCCAAAATGTCCTCTCAAGATATTTTACTAAAAAACCAATTGATTTTTATCGGTACAGGATTGAAAATCTGCACATTAGATGGCAAAAGGTTGTTGATAACGAGGGTGATTATATTATTGATTAAAAATGTATTCGTTTGAATTTAATGTAAGAAAGCGACATTACTTTCCAGTCCCCCTATTATAAGACCATGGTCCTTTTTGTTTCTAAATGTGTATTTAGTATTTGATTTATATTTGGTATTTGATAGTAGATTTAATTTAAAATACTTACTGTAGTTATTGTTTATGTTATTTGTTATTGTAATGTTTATTGTTGCATTAATGCCTTAATTGTAAGTTTGGCTTCCTGTCCAGGGATTTTGCTGCCCGTAACGTGCAGTCCTTGGGAAGGGGGCTGTGTTACGGGTTTTGTATTTATTTAGTTTGCTATTTTTAATAGTATTGTTATTAAATTGTTTCATTTCTCCGTGATTGCTGCGCAAGACAAATTTGAAGAGAAACCTACGCCAAAAAAGGAAGAATACAAGAGCTTGCGTATTTAAGATTTTAATACAAATAGATATCTCATAATTGTACACTTTTGCTATCCAGAAGAATTGAGAAAATACCAGAGTATTCTCGTGTATGATTTAAAGCTTATAAAAGCTGGAAATCTCAATTCAGTTGCTTAGAAAATTGCTGTTGTTTATTGGAGCGGATTCAGGGTGAAATTAGATTAGCTTTCTCTGTTTTGAATTAAGTTCTGTTGAATGTTTTAGTAGTTTAGAATATAACTTCTGTAAGCGATATTGTACGATTATCTCTGGGGAATCTTAAGCATTTTGTATTTATTCGTTGCGATAAGAATAAATTTTATTCACTTTTCATCGGATTTGTGCATTCAATTTATTACAAACCTGTACGTACGCAATAATATATTTAATATATCTGCTTGCTTTTCATGTCCTTTCTTTCCAATTTCAATTTCATAAATGTCTTTAGGGTTCAAAGTATATTGTGGAAGCATATATTGCTAATTGGTCCAAATAAATGGGGAGTTTTATTCCTAACTTTGCTTGGTTAAGTTCAAGTTGGTGGATCACGTTCATAACTGCTGTGCAATTGAGTTATCATTTGTGCTTGTATGGTATGTAGTTGTAACAGAAAAATTTACTGGTATGTTTTGCAGATGGCAGCACAGAAATAAGGAGATATTAGAAATTGTAAACTTTTGTAAAAAGCCTTTTTTTGACTTTCTGACTACACATATTGCCAATTGCATTCTTTTCCAAAATTAAATAAATAACAGATAAAATGAAGATTAAAATCGTGATTAATTATTATTTTTTAATTGAGAGAATAAATTTTTTTGTGGTCTTTCAAATTTTATTTGTATTACCATTATTTTTTTTCCATTGTGTTTTTTCTGTCACACATCTCTAATCATTTTCATTTTTTGTTATTTCTTAAAAAATGCCGATGTGCTTTATTTTTATTTCTTTTTAACAGAACTGAAAAATTCATTGTCTGCCACCATTGCTTCATCAGGAACAGCTTATTCAGTGCTAAACAACGAGGTATCGCACCCTGCATTCTGGGACTTCCATTAAAAATTTTATATTACAAAGTATGAAGTCCTTGATTACAATTTCTTGCTCAAAAACACTTTTTTTAAAATATTTCCATTGTAAATTGACCTTCTGTAATAGTTTTTTGCTCTTGCTTGTAAAGTGATGAAGGAACTATGAGGAAATCTATTTTTAATTTATATTCTTCTAACATATTTATACTTCCCAATATTTGTAAATATTGTGTATGTGTGATTGTGATCTTTGTCAATGTAAGATATGCTGACTGTATGAAACTGGTATTTTAACTTGCGTTAAAATCATTACATTTGTTAAAAGAGTATTTGAAATTTTAACGTATAATTATAATTTTCTTATTAATTTTAATTGCTTTAAAAGAATGTCTATTTTGTGTTACAGAATAATTTGATTTGTTTTGGGAAGGGCTTATTTATCACCTATATTATATAACGGATTTATTTTCTGAAAAAAATATAAGGATCTGTTTTTTCTTATCATCTATAGAAATAATAACTTATCAAATCTGTAATTACATTAAAATTTTATGTATTACTTTCAAGGTGGGATATGCGATATAAATGTTAATAATACCAGTTAAATGTAAAACTAATTATGATTTTTTAGTATTGCTATTATCTATATATATATATATCAAAAATTTTATCTGTAATTACATTTACAATTTTTTAATATGGATTTTAATTTTAAATGAGTTTTAGAAATCTATAATAGATTATCTTTATTAGTGTAAACTGAATTGAAATTGTACTGATCCTTGGAACAAAGTCTGTTGCCAGTATTAAGAAATGATTATTAATGTCATACTGCAGTATGTTCACACATTGCATATTTTTCTACACAAAAGAATATCTAAGTACTAATGTGATAAGTATGAGCACAAGGACCTAATTAAATTGACTGTAATAAAATTTTATAAAAAAAGTCATGTTTATATTTTCACAGCAGTGTTTTTATCCTATTCTCAAACTGTACACATTTAAGTAGTAGGCTGTGATATGAAATATAATGTATAGCTATAAAATTCCATAAATATTCTTCCATATGATGGTCTGGTAATATCTCATTCGAAATGAAATTTAGGTTTTTGAATAAAGAAATGAAATTAAATATGTTGTTTTACCTTTTTATTATTTTTTAAGTGATAAAATTTATGAAGACCTGTTATGATTATTTAAAGTTGTTTGGGGAATATCTAATCAGTGTAAAGTGTATCATTGAATTAAATGTTTTCTGTAAAGTATTATCTGTAAATTCATACATAGTTTTATTATTATATTAAAAAAACTTGAGAAAATGAATGTGAGGATTAAAATTTATAACATTTTTGTTATAAAGGAATTTGCATATTCATATCAGATTAGTACATAGGTTTGTTTATGTATTAAAAACTAATAATAATATAATATTTACAAAAAATATTGTTCTTCTTAGTATGCCACTGTTTATGTTACAGATTGAATTAAAAACAGCAGTTTAATACTTTTCTCTTGGTTTGTTCTTGCAATTTTAGTGTACTGCACATGTAATTCAAATTTTTTTTTATTATTCAATTTAAGAAGACTATCATGTTGTATATATTAATTGAAATGATAATTGAAAGGTAATTGCCTTATTTTCATTTGTATAAGCAGCACCTTATTTGTTTATCTCGAATTAAAAAAAATTCCCAAATATAAGATGCAGATAGCCTGTCTACCATCTACACTTTTTTTGTTTTGTTTTGTTTTGTTCTGGAAGTTTTAAAGCAACTAACATAAAAACAGTACACCACACACTGATACAAAATTTTTAAAGTACTGGTCAAAAGGAACTTGTTTCTGTGTTTAGCACCTTTCATTCACTGTTATTTGATACTAGAAGTAGTTGCTTGACTACCAGTATCACTTTCACTGATACCGGTATCCTAAAGCATATTACCAACCCCTGCAACCACAACTAAACTTGTACCATCTTATATAACATTCACCCAATAGCAGTGGGTTTTATACTCAGTCATTAAACACACATTGCTATTTTGCACACACTGCTGTGTTGCTACATTAATATGTACCTATTTCCAATCATTCATTTCTGTAAGCCGCCCCCCCCCCTTATTTTCATCTGCCTTTTTTTATGTGGAAAAGTGCAGCTTGTACATGAGAGAATATAGTAGTAGTTGTGCACAGACATTTTAATTTCACAAAATAATTTAATAAATAGCTGTTATTTTCAAAAGAATGAGTCACAATATAGGGGTTTGTATTTATTGTATTTTGACTTTTAGAAGTGTGATAATAGTTTTATAATGTGTATGTTGATATTTTCTAAACTAGCAGGAAATGTCATTGAAAAACTGAATGGCAGGAATTTAGTTTAACAACGTAATAATTTATAACTGAGATACAATTATTTTGATGCAAGATGCTATTGTATATGTTAGATTATTCTAATTATTATAGTTTCACATCTTATGTATTAATAATTTACACAGTTACTCTTAGTAAATGACATTTAGATGTTAATAGTAATTTTTATGTATTAATTATTATTAATAATATACAGGAATTTGATTTCAGAAGGAGTTCCTCTTCTTTAGAGATCAATGCCAAACAAAGGTTAATTTTGTCAGTTATTAATTTAATTAGAAGGCAGCTCTTTCATCTGTTAATTCAGTTAGGTGGTTAAATATCATTCCTACAAATTATAAATTTTCTGAATAATCTGCTACTTTATAATATAAATTTAAGTACAGATTTCTATTTTGTTTATCTTCATTATGATTACAGTGACTTAGTATGAATTAATAGTTACAGTAATTTGTGAAAAATTCGAAAATGAAAAAAATATTTTTTATGTGTATGTTTTGTTTGATTGAAAGATGAAAAATAGTAACCGTTCTAGGGATAAGCAGATTCCTATATATATAGTCCCAAAATCAAATGAATGGTAACATGTGATAACATTATAATACTACACAAGTTGGCATCAAGTCAGTTTTTGCATGATTAATGTGCATGTATATTAGACTTGTAGACATTCTACCTGTCCTTCATAGATTAGTTTTTTTTTTTCCTGTTGCTAAAAATAATCCGTGGTATGTTTATTGCAACAGTATATTTTTATTATCATAATCATTATGGTATGGTAAAGTAGCCAAACTACTTCAAGGATCAAAGAATGTTTTAAAATGTCTTGTAAACAAGTGCAATCATATCTCGTATGGAAATTTTAAGGTACTGTATTCTGTTTTCAAAGTTTCAATATATTGCTGAAATCTGCATGAAAATTGTGACTGCATGACAAAAGTGAAATGTTTATTTCAGTTTTAGATTTCTGCATTAACTGCTAAATCTTTTGATGTTATCAAACGGTAAAGAGCCATTTTTTATATTAGGTAAAAAATTTACCAATTTAAAGAATATTCTAACAAATATTCATATAAAATTCATATAAATTAGTTTATAATATGTATAAACATAGAAAACACATCTTGCCTACATCAGATACTTCATTTGATCCATGAAATACAGTGGCAGATTTATTTTATTTGACTCTATTGACAGTAGTAAATTTCATGTGAAATCTTGTACATTATTTATTGTTGTTTCGCAGTTATTGATATGGCATGTATATAGTAGAGCTTTGAAACTTCTATGAATTACTAAAAACTCTAAATACTTATAGATTTGATTCCATTGAATATCATTCAAAGTAATAATTCCATGGAATATTGTTCAAAGTGATTTGGATTTTATAATTATCTACTGTATTTTAATATTTTGGGAATATACCTTTCCAGTTTATTGCTTATATGCTTCATGTTGTTATTATATAAATTTTATGAAATTTTCTTGTACTTTTTACTTATTGCTATTTAATGGTATCTGCAGACAGAAATTTCACTTGATCTTGCTAATTGCTGTATTTCAAGCTTCAAAATTTTTCTTATTTTCAAATTTTTTTGTTTATCTTTTTGTGTATGTGTGATAGGGACATGTTTGATTGTATTTTATATTCAATTGACTAAGATACACTGATTCATACTTGAAGATCAGCAGTTGATTGGTTTTCTATGAAACGAATTGGGAAACAGTTTTAGGTTTATGAAATTGGTATGATTAGATTAATAGAATTTTTCCTTTCATTGCTTGAATCTATTTTGACAGGGCTCAAATTGTAAACATTTTTGATTAAAAGCAGTTATTTCTTTATGTATGCAATGTGTTAAAAATCTTGTTGCCATGTGCTGTAAGTTTAAGAAAGTAAAAAAAAAGAACATCTAGTTTTATTAAAGTTCTTTGCATATAATAAGCAGTGGAATGCAGCATTTGCATCTGTTTTTTCATTGGCTGTTTTTTGACAATTCATAAAATGTCATTTGTGGGAGGCGAAATTAAGCTAAATTTTTAACATATCACTAATATGTTGTCACACTTAATAATCAGTACCATTTTCAAAGTAACTAATTTTATTCACAGTTTTTAACAATAGTGTTGTCTTTTTATCATACCTGTCAATTGCCACAATAAATCTTTAAGCTTCTTTTCCTAATGACTAAGACTGAAAAATAGTCTTCAACCTTTCCCCCCCCCTTCAGGAATAAAATGCTTTTAGCCATTTTGAATTTAAATGTTACTTACATAAAATGACAGCATTTATTAATATATATAAATCATATAGCATATCTTTGATTGATAAGTGGTTAAACTACATTTGATAAATTATTTGAGAATTATTTCATTCTATTTTGGTATCCATAAGGTTTGCTTATGTTTATTATGTAATGTTGGCTCATTTTTATTCTGTTGCATGCAGTATGTTAGATTTTAAGAATTATTGCATGAATATTTTTTAAAAGATTTCCTTGGAAGAATTGAGTTCATATAAAATAAGCAGAAAATTACTTTTAACTGGTATTTTTATTTACTGTATTCTGTATCTGTATGCATGTGGTGCATAGCTAAGCTTAAATTCCCATTGGCTTTTGTTGTGCCATTTTTTCTCCTTTTTTCCGTGGTGTTTTGATTTAAAGTAAAATAGTATGATACACATAAGGTTATCTAAATGTTTTTGACCTTAATTGTACATTAAACTGATCTAGAAACATAAAACATTAACTTATTGTATGAAACATTAAACTTATTGTTTAAAGAAGTTAGTTTCTTTTATGTTTTGAATTAATACTTTGCTTATGATTGGTTAAATATACTGTGGAAGTATTAAGGATATTGGAATATGTAGAGGGGGAGGAATTTTCTTCCGTTAAATACAGTTTAATGTGAAACAGAGGGTTGATTCATGTTTGTTACAAGATCTTGGATTTCTGCTATGGCATGTAACTTACATAGTCAGTTAGTTTGACATAGTAATAATAATAATATGTATTATTACATATTTGTGATAAATATTAAAAAATACTGCTGTTTTACATGTTTGTTTAAAAAATTTGTTTCATAATATAACCAAAGCTTTTCTGTTTTGTGGAATAGCTGTGGGAAAACCATTTTTCCAAACAAGCACAATGTACATATTTTTGACTTGTTAAAGTGCTTGAAGTAAAAATATTTATTTAAAAACCATGAATATTGAATTTCATCTTATGCATAGTGCCATATATTTTTAATTTTATGCTTAAAATCTTTAATTTTATATAATATGTCAAACTCTGCAATAGACTAATGAGTATTTACTGTACCTTATGCTCATGCCTTTTTTGATATATACTGTGATAGAAGTTCACAACAAATAAGTACAAATGATATTTATAAAGTTCCATTTTGTATAAAGCATTATTTCAGCAACTTAAAAATTTGTAATATTTGTTTTATGATGTCTAATTAGTAAGTTTTTGTTTTCTTTTATATTAGAAATAAATTTCTGTGCTCAGTAAAAAATAGTAGGTAGAGGTACATTTTTACTGCTGTTTAGACCTACATCAATTTATTACATAATAATTTTGATAAATTCAAAATTTGCATAATACAATCTTTAGCTGCATAAACTGATCACTGGTGTATTCTTTTATTTTTCAGATAGGGAATGTTCATAATTAACATTTTATTTTACATTTATTAACTTAATGTATTCAGTTAAAAATCTGTCTCTGCATCATATTTAAAATATTTTTCTGTCTGTCTTTTCTTCAAATTATTGTATATATTATTTTGAGGTTATTTTTTTCAGCTGTGTTTTATTCTGTTCAGATTATGTGCTTCTAAGAGAAATTTTATTAGGTAAAAAGGTTACATTTTCTTACTTTAAGTCTCCTGTCCTCGGTGGGAAGGTGAATTATTTTAGATATGTACTTTATTCAATGTACAATGCAAAAGAAATAGTTTTTTTTTTTTTGTAAAGGATTACTGTGAAACAAAACTGGTATTGTTATGTTAATATTTGTTATTCACCCTCACATTTAATAAAAAAGTATTCTTATCTCATTTTCATATACTTAAGATTCATTTAAACAACTTATAATGAATATCAAAAGGCTACAGTTTTCTCATATAGTTGGAATTTACTGACAATGATTAGATTAATTTATCCAACTAATCAGTGAGAAATCAGGAACTCATATATTGTGGGAAATTTGAAATTTAATTATGTTTTACAAAATTATATGCATCTGATGCATATTTTTCTTTTTGTATGTTCCTTTACTTGTGACAAGTTTTTCAAATGTGGAAAATGGCTAGATTCTGACAGATTTTTCTATAGGTAAATCCTCTATACATTTTTGTTTGGGCATGAAAAATAATAAAATTTTAAAGTTATGCACTTAAAGAGAAAAGGCTGGGAGAAAAAGTTCTTTTCATGTAGTTCATATTGTAGAACTTGAATAAGTTCCTTCTTGAGTAATACAGTCATATCATTCTTAAAATAAATTTGACTTTTCCAAAATGTAAATGTGTGTCAACTCTCCCCCTCTCCCTCCCTCCCAAAAAAACTCCCCCCCCCACTGATTGCTCAGTTGTCTTTTAAATCATTGCACATATTGAGTACAGAAAAGAGTATTTCCTATGCAATTTTTCATGATTTATGTCAGTTATCAATTTAAGAAAATTTTACCCCGTGCATGTACTAAGGGTCCAATATGTAGAAAGCCAGACTGTAGATTTTAATGAACATTAAAAAATATAAATGTAGACAGGGCCATAATGAAGTATTGTAGTTGAAAGTACACGATTAGATACTAATAATAAAAAAATGCTAATCAGTTGTCTTAACTGGAAATTTATTTATAACAGTATAAAAATGTGGTTCCTCATGGCATATTAAGTAGTTTTTTTAAAATGCATATATATCTTAAATCAATCAATAAAGATATTTTATTTCCAGCTGTTGAAAATTTGTGTTGAAATTTCCAAACATTTTCTACACTGAATCAAATGATTTTTTGTTATAAATCAAAATTGGTAAGAAAATAATTTTTACAGTTGAATTTTTAAAATAGTGCTATATTTATTTTTTTAATTCTAAATGTATAGCACTTTTCCCCTAAAATGCATAATAAAAATTCACTATGGGCCTGGGCTGACTGATGTATCCTGTATAACACATCCTCACAAAGCCTGAACATCGAACATTAAGTATCACTTTTCCTTTTGCTGTTGTGAAACTATGTAGATCAATTCTATGATCATCATCAGCAGCGAAGATAGTCTTTATGGTCTTTTCCAGCTCTTGAAAAATTATGCTATTATTGATTAATTTTGAAACACTTATTTTGAATCCTGTTAAAAAATACATTGCTGACCTATTTAAGCCAAACAGTCGCTATGTCTACTAATGAAATAAGAAAATATCTGCTTTTTCTTGGAAGGGTTTCCAGTTTTCCATGAAAACACTAATGTACTCTGTATCAACTTTGCCATTATGTGAACTATTTGTTTCTCTTAGTGCTAAAGATCGGAGACTATCTTTGCTGTATTATTATGTAATAGTTCTTATGTATGTAGTATTTATTTTTAAAGATTTTAATATTCAGACTTTTCTATTCTTAGAAAATGTGTAGTCATAAATATTTTATTTACTTTTATAAATTAAGGAAAGTAGTGAAGTTCATTTTGTAATGAAACTGTGATTAGAAAATTGTCTTCTCATAAAATGACGTTTAATTTAAGATTCCATGTGAAATGCTCTGTTAAAGTCTTGTCCATAAAAACTTATATTTCACTTGTTCATATAATTCTGTTTCAGGTTTTGAAACTTATTATCATAGTCTTTTTAAATATTTAAAACATATGTGTATTAGGAATATGTTGTAATATAATCGTAGGAAGTATGTGAGTTTATTTGTTATTAGTTGCAGTTAACTCAAAAAGTTGTAATTACGATTCAGTTTGCAGTCTGTGAGTCTGTGTTATTTAAGTTTATCTTAATTATTTTTATTGATTGCAGCATTAGCCCAATAGCGGTGATTTCAGTGGATTTCACTGTTTGAATTTTTTCTTTATTATTTATTGGAGTAAGTTTTCTATTGTATTAGATTTGTCTTCCACCATAAAGTTTTGTTATGTTGCTTATACTACTGAAATTTGTGTGAACGCTTAGTATTCCTCTCAACAATTAATTTTCTTTTATATATTATATTTAGTCTATGATCTGCACTTTATTGTACTTAATACTCAAATGTATATTTTGTACATATTGTGCTGTTTGTCTACAACTATACAAAATGATTTTGTGAAAAAGTTTTAAAAAGGTTTTCTCCCCCCATTTTTTTGTTTGTTTGTTTGCCAGCTAAATATGTGTCTATTCATTTTGTTTTTATACAATTTGAATAAATAATCTATTATAATATAAACTGGACTTAATCTGAATTTATATATGAAACATATATTCATTCATTAAATATGTATTGTGTAAACATAAGTGAAAGCACGTGATAATATTTTGCTGTCATAAAATAATACTGAGTTGATTATTTGCTGTATTTTAGTCTCTGTCATGATATGATGATTAATCTGTACTTGTAGTGAATTCTTGTGAAATATTCAGCTGATTAGCAATATCGATTTGTATTATAATTTGTGATCTGTTCACAGAGAAGAATATCCATTATTTCAGGACTGACATATTTGGGCTTAAAACTTAAATCATTTTTCAAATTGAAATTAAAAAGCAATTGCTTTTAAACCTTTATATTTGTGTCTTTTTTATAGGACCATGATTCTCTATTCTAATCATGAGATGTCTTCAATAAATCTTTCATTACTTTTACAACTTGTCTCTCTATCCTACACACACATAAAATAATTATTAAAATCACATACATAATGCTTCAACAAAATTTTAGGTTGGAATTTTTTGCCCACCCTGCAGAGTTGCCAAAATTAAATTTTGTGTGATTTCATGCATTGTGTGAATGCCTGCATGCAGTCATTATTGTCAATTGAAAGGCTGAATAAGAAGCAATAAAGTCTTGCATCAAAACTGGAAAAGCTGCTTCAAGAACTTTTTAGATGACATGCGAGGGATATAAATTTTACATATTCACATATTTCCTTTCACCTTTAGATTTTGCAGTAGGCAGAAAAGTGTTGGTGATGAAACTAGGAATATTTACCTTTAAATCTGAAACTAATTATAACAAAAATATGCAGGAGCTGCTATTAATGAATTTCAGTTTGTAACTTTAGTTATTACACTCGTTCTCAAAGTATGCAAAGATATGAATGTAAAAAAGAGAATTAAAACCTACAGTTTACATATAAGGTAGAGGTTGCATCACCAAATGCAAATAGGCAACCAAAATTATCATGAAATGCAATCCCACAATCACATCACAACGCCTTAAAAAGGGACATGATGGACCTATGCGTCAGTTTGCAATCAGCAATAGTTCCATGTAATCCGAGGTAGCCAAAACAGACAGCATGAGTCAAAGACATCATTTGCACGATAAAATGCATTGAATGGCTGCCGGGATGATGCGAGAGAGCTGGATGTGCATGATAGTCTGTGGAATCGTTTCCAAAGGGATTAAAACCCTAGTAGAAGACATGAGTCTGGACGCTGGAGGATTACCACAGAGTAAGACGATCCTTCCTGCTGCTGTGTGTAAGATGCCGTAGATCACTAACAGCGCGAAGCTGGCTTCGCATCTGTCTGCTGCTGCAGGATGGCCCATATCGCGCTATACTCTGTCGCATTGACTGCATGAAGGGGGGGACTGTATGCCGGACCAGCTATGATTTGTGTTCCTTTGCCCCCATCCTATGTCAGATATCAGAGCACTGGTTAAAATCATTCCTTGGAGCAGTGGGGCCACATTCTCTTTACGGATGAGTCTCGATTCAACATCTAGAACAATTCCTGAAGGGCAATGATATGGCGAGAGTCAGGGACACGCTGCTGGGCGCCAGAAATCGTTGAAAGAGACGATTACAGAGGAGAAGGCGTACTTGTATGAGCTGTGATAGCAACGAACGGCCACACCGACCTCTACGTGATTGCTGGTGGTTCCATCACAGCACACCGTCTGATATCGCGATGAAATTCTACCCATTTTATGCGTCGTTTTATCGCTGCAATGGATACCGACGTGATATTTCTGAACAATAACGCCCACCTGCATACAGGTCGAGTAGTACAAAGTTATCTGAAGAATGAAACTATTTCACATCTACCGTGGCCTACTAGATCACCAGACCAGAATTCCATTTAACATCTTGGGACGACGGATAACAGGTCGCAATGCGCTGCCATACACCCTCCTCTAACTTCGACATGCATTACTGGAGAAATGGGTGCTGCTGCCACAACAAGCGACCAGCGACGTTATTGCCAGCTATGCATTTCAGTTAGAGGGTATCATATTCATTATTAACATGTATTTCCTTTGCACATTTTTTAGACCAGTTTAGTCTTTCTCGATGTGATGGTCGTAGTTTTTGTGTGTCTTTGCTTTATTATTTGCTGTGTGGTTTAGTAATGCCACACCAATCTCTTGGACCAATTTCACGCATATCCATTAAATAATTTTTGTTTTATTCCGTGTTTTCCGTTTATTGCTTATTTTTTTTAGCAGGAGTGTATTAGATTAGCTTAACATCAATCAAATTGCTGCTAACTGATAATGAGAGTTGGTATTTTGTTTGAAAGTCATCTCCGTGGGTAGGAGAAATTTCATTTCGGCCCTAGAAAAATGTATTTTAGAATTTTGGAATAAAGTTCGTGTTAGTTATCTGCGATTGGCAAGGAACAGGTTACAAGGATATTTTATTTCGAGGTTAAAGTGTAGCGTTTCGTATTCTGTCAAGATATCATTATATAAAGCTTCAACAAAAATTTGTTGTTGCTAGTATAATCTTATATTTACAAATTAGAGCTTCATGTAACTTGATCAAGCTAAATTTCTTCATGCAATCTGCAAAGCCAAAGTTATATTTTCAGTATTACGATTTGGAAATCTAACTGACGAATTTCATAAATTCATTTCATAAAATTTCGATCATTTTAATGAATTTTTAAATTCTACATACTGTTACAGCAATTTTTTTTCGGAAACTTCTTATGAAACCACCTCTCCCTTTCAAGCGGACGACTCTCGTGCTCTTAGCCGTATTCCAGTTACACAAACAATGAATACGCTTTTTGGAAGACAGTTATTTCGTATTTTGATCTGATTAAAGCAGACTTGTTTGTAGAATAGTTTGCATTTTTGTAAAGATCTGATAAATCAAATCTTGATGTAACTGAAATGTGACAAGGTTTTAGTTCAGATAATTAATTCTGAAGCAAAGAAATTGCTTGCAAATGCTCAAAAAACTGTATTTTTGTATAATGATTTCAAGTTCTAAAACTTACAGATGTAAGGATGTAAATGTGTAGATTGTAATTGTGGTTGTAAATGTGCAGAAGCATTTTAGTCAATTTTTTCTATCAGAATGCGTGTTTAATTGGATGAGACAAATTATGAGGTATATTTATCTATTTGTAAGAGGAAAGACGCTTTCGTGGCAGACTGTTAAGGATTATATACGATGTAGATGATGAAAACCTCGAAAACACCCAAGACTCGAACCTGGGTCAAATCGTCGGTATTCAGTCACAGGTGGGACTATATTTTAGTCATAGTGTAGAGTTCCTCACTTTTTAAATGTTAATTTACAGTTGGACGTGAAGAATCTTAATAACTGATAAGCGAATAAACGCTTGAGTTCGTGTGATAAGAAACAACAAGATGGAAGGGTAAATAACCCTTTATTATTCAAATAAGATTTAACAGAACTCCGTTTTGGCGTATACAATAAAAGCCGACACTTGGGCTTGAACTTAAGAGACTAAGAAATAAACTAAAACTAAGATTAACTAAAAGAGATATATCTGAAGTTATCAAGATTCTAATCGAGTTGGTCCTTTAACTTTATTTGACTACGAAGCTTATCAAGGGCCTGAGTACGGCCGAGCGTAATAACAGCTTTGAGAGGGAGAGTATCCAAAAAGCAGACGCGCGCAAATCAGAAACTATGAATCTCTGTAACTCAGCAAGTAGAACTTCGCGGTTAAATACCTCTCTTCCTCATTATGTACTCAGACGTGATTCTGAAACTACGTTTTGGCCGGAAGTAGTAAGTTGGAAGTTAAGAATTTGACAGGAAAGGAGTTTTAACTCAAAATTTAACTGTTAATAAAATTAACATAGTAATCCTTACAAGGTTCTTGGCTTTCCGCCGCGTGAACTAAATCACACTACGGGTCTACTCCCCCTTTGGGCACTTCGGGGAGGTTCAACCTCCACTATTACCCTTCTAGGGGAGCAGCGCACCACCTGGATATGACACCAGGCAGCACTGGTCGTCAATTGTTCCTGCCAGTCGCATGGGCGAGCCCGTCGCAGTGGGCCGTTACCCAGCAAACCGAGGTGGACTAGCCCTCCGGCTACTATTCCACACCGCTCAGAACATGCCAGATCCCCTAGCCGGCCAATAAGTGACCTTTCCCAGGGCCTTCAGAATCACCAAGTTCATAAATTTTATACCGCAGTGGCCTAGGTACAAATCCTAGCCCGTAGCTTCTCCGAGTTCTCTACATCGATCCCCCGGGGGGGGGAGTAATCCTTACAATAGGTTTGTTAGAAATTTGGCTGACTAATAAAGAAAATTATTAATCACTATCAATGTTTGTTCTTTATGGTCCCACCAGTGGCCGAGTAGTTAAGATCTTTGAATATTGGATAGTTCGATCCGAGCTACGCGAACGGGCTGGCAACATTGTTGTTTCTCATGGTACTTTTCCCACGTGTACTGCTAATACGAACCAGTTTCCTTTAAAAGACTACCACGGAGGAGTTTTCCCGTTTAGGCAGACAGTCCTCACTTGCTTTGCCATATCCAAATAGCCTTACGATTATCTTTCATCATTTATGTGTAGTAAAAAGTTAAAATTCGTAGTAAAAAGTTAAAATTCCTGAACCTTTTATTTTATTATTTTCTGCAACTGTAAGCACGCTTTCAAATGGTTTATGTAGTAATTCTTCGCTTTCTAAAATTTTCTTGCGTATAATTGTTATTGTGACTTATCTCACTTGTCTGACAGCAACACGACAGCCGATGAAATGCATCATGGCAAGGAGTGCAAGATTGCGCCTGTCGTTGGCAAGAGCCTTGAATACTATAGATATGACAGTACGGCTCTGCTTAGTTCCGCCCCCAATTTTGATGGAGAGCACTTCGGGGGGGGCAGACGGGTCCGAGGGGGTCCTACCTTCCTCTATCACCAACCTCTGAAGAGGACTTTTCGGCTTGCCGCATATTTAGAGTGCCCCCATGCCGCGCAGGCAGTATACGTTTACAAACATCAGTGCCTTGTCCGGGTCAACCCCGGGATCTTCGGTACGGTAGTCAAAGTCACTAACCACTATTCCAGTTGAGCCCCCTCTCCGGCGGTCGACGTAGAGAACCCTGCGAAGCTACTGGCTAGGATCTGTACTTATGCAGTCTCGGCCACGGGGGTATGCCAATCATGAACCTAGTGGTTCTGGAGGCTCCGGAAAGGTCACTTATTGGCCAGCCCGGGGTCTGGCATGTCCTAGAGCATATGATTCTAGTAACCCGGGTGGCGTCCTAAGGACGCTGGGCAATGTCCCTCTGCGACGGTCAGCCCGACTGGCATGTTGCAAATCATAGTCAACGACCGGTGTAGCAAAAGCGATGCGTCCTTCTCTCCAAGGTGCGAAGGCGGAGGTTGAACCTCTGTGCCTGGTTCTAAGGCTGCTATCACACGTCGGTTTGTTTCGGAATAAAACTGTTTGGAACAATTTTTTTTGCTTTGTCACAATAGCCAATCACCATAGATGAAGTCAACGCAGGGAAAACTGGTTGATAGCTGATTGGTTGAAAATGAACAATTTGCAATTTTTTGGAAAGGAAGGAAAAAGTCGCGCGTCTTTCTTTTAATAGTAAACCAGGCAGAAAAATTGTCCGAAACAGTTGTTCGTGTGAAACAAATGCCGTGTTATTATGGGCCTAAGGGTTCTCATAGTGCGGTTCAGTCTCGCGAAGTGAGAAATGCCAATGCTTGTATCTGTATCGTGGTTGGGCGGCTTGCGTTTATGTAAATACATGTATAAAAGGCATACACCCGTGTACATTCCATACATATATGCAGATATGATTACATATATATATATATGCAGTATGGATTGAAAAAAATCAACAGCTGTTACCGTACCTAAAGTATAAACGCTCTCTCTGAGAGTCAGAAAAATCTCTCGATTTCTTTTTAACGTGACCTGATGGTGCAAAAATTGCAAGGTCTTCTCTCGTCCCACACATAGAACATGTACCTTTATCACTTATAACGAAATCCGATAGTTTTACATAACATTTACGTGAATCCGAGTTTCGTTTTTCACTTCAGAATTTTACTTTTTTTAGAAAGATTTTGCAACATGCGTAATAATCCCTGTATAACTAATACTTCATGCAGAGAGTAAGTTCGATAGTGTAGAATGTTTCCACATGTTCACTTTCTCTGAAACATTCAAAATTTAGTTTTTCATAAATGTGATGGGCAAAAGTTTCCATTTAGCATTATGAAAAAAGAGATACTACTGTCACCAGTTCTTCAATTTATTTCCAATTTTAAATGTCATTTATAATATAGATTGCAAATTTATAGTAGTTTAGAAGTATGGTTAGAAACGGGGAAAATATATATATTTGCAAAATGTTTTGTCATTTCAGCATCGTCGCGATTATATTTAAGTGTGATATTGTAATTTTTTTAATATATTGAAATAATTACGAATGAATGGAGAACGGCAGAGACCGTATGCGAACCATTTTGATTATTTCATTCAAAACAGTAACACAAATGACCCTGCAATATTTATAAGAGGGGATTAAAATTGCTTGCTAATTCAAAGTTCTTAATAATAACGCTTTCTTCTGCAACAAAAATGCTTGCTTTCAACTAATAATTATAATTTTAATAATAATAATTGAATAATATAAATTTTATGAATAAAAAATGAGGTAATTAAAAAATTTTTGCAAATAAATCAGCAATTTCTCTAAACGTTAAAACACTGTCCTAGTATATAATTAATAAATGCGATTTCTGTGAAATTGTAACGATTATTCGATTTGACAAGATTATGAATATATTTTTAAATGATAGGGCATGAATAAATAATTGAACGACCAGAACATGACAATTTCTTGTATACTAGATGCGATAAGAATAATAGAATTTAATATTTTTTTGTTCAAGATGTTTTGCGTATGTTTGGAGAAAAATACGTCAGAAAAACAAACGTCTTAAAATCGAGAGCCATGCTTGTAAATTAAAAATGTGGGAAAACCGTTCATTCTAACACAGTTGTATGGAAAAACCGTAATCAAATACAGGGTATTTCATATTGAATGAGACATAATAGCATAGTATAATTCTGTAACTGATTTAATAAGCTGGAATAAATTAATTCTGAAACTACAATTGCACAAATTTTATCTGACAACAACGAAAAATTTCCAGTTGCAAAATCACCGCTACAGGCATTGTGAATCAAAAATGGCGCTACGTGTGCCGGAGAAAGTGTACTGTATTTTGAAATAGCAAAAATATCAACGTTTATCTTCGTTCAAAGACATTTTCGCACGAAATTTAGTAAAGAACCACCGCATCGTCACAACATCGAACGATAAGTGAAGTAGTTTCAGGACACAGAGACTACTTGCGTAACAAATATTAATAATCAGTACAGAACTATCTCCCAGTAGCTATAACCGAAGGGGTTGAAATAATTTTTACGAATTCTCACAAAAATCATGCGAGTTCTGAACTCAGTGTGGCATATGTTACTGAAACATACACCTTTCAGATGGTGCAGGCGTTTAGACCTTCCGATAAACTGTTGCGTAAAGTGATTGTTCTGTAAGAATTTGCAAGTTAAGTTGGAGGTAGATGGTTTCGCGAACAGACTTGTATTTATGGATGGAGCCTCTTTTCACGTTTCTAGCAAAGTTAATCTCCATAATTTACGATTTTGGGTCACGGAAAATCCACATGGTGTAATGGACCATGAACTTGATTCTCCAAAGGTGAACGTTTTCTGCGCTATTTCCAACAGTTGTGTTTTTGGTCCTTTTCTCTTCATGGAAAAATAGATTAACGGGTGCATTCCCCAAGATATGATATCAGAGTGGTTGTTCCCTTAGTTGGAGGAAGAAGTTTCCGGCTTCATTCTGCAACAAGACGGTGGTCCGCCACGTTCGCGTAGAAACATTATCATTGGTGATTGCTTTTTTACTGTTTCATTAAGCACTCCAATTTTACAAGAAGCTCTGTTTAGAACGCTATGAGTACAAACTTCCTGCAGGTAAATGTTCTAATCTCTTTTAGTGTTTTGTCGGCCAATTTCAGTTAACCATATCTTGTTCATTATTACGCACATTATTTTTGTTCATTATTTTTGATCGTAGTATCCCATAACATTGAAAATAATCCGCTGCTTATTGTTATGTAGAAGGCAAGCCCCATGTTTTAATCACTGTTTCAGAATGAAGAAAAAATACGCAATAACAATTAATTTGTATCTTTGCTCATAAAAAAAAGGTGGCTTATCGAGAATCAGCGAGCGCTCATCAAACGAACAGTGGTATCATCCATAGCTAGAGATAAATCGCACTGCTTGGCGACAGTTTCACGATCTGCATGATAATATGTAAGTACTCTTTTTTTTTTTTTCCTACTTCTTAAAACTATCTTGTAGAAAGTGTTATTTTAGTTATACAATATTTGTATTATGTATACAGGATGATTCTAAATTACTTTTACAAATTAAGAGGGGTGATAGTACTCATCCAGATGAGCAGTAATTACCATGGAACATAAGGTTGCATTCCACTCTGAGAGGCAGAAAAGAAGAATATTAGAATTCCAATCTGATCTTATAACAGTGTTGAGAGAGCGAATGAACGAGACCAAATGTTGCACAATCAGTTTAGTGACAAACTCACACAGAGTGTACAAAACGGATAAAACCGAAAACTTGGCGTTCGAGTGTTAATTAGAGCCGAGACTTTGATAGCTAACATTCAAATGCACATCTTTGGTTGGCAAGGTCTCAATCTCACAAATGATTGCAACAAGTTAATTATCTAAATTATTCGGAGAAATTATCTATTAGGGGGTAAACTACCTTGATATCAAGTATCAATGTAGCAGTTGTTTTTCTCTTAGCCATCTTCTGTTCTGTCTTCCTGGACTTACTCTGCTGCGCTCATTCTACTTGTAGCGCCCTTTTAAGGAATAGCCGGAACAAAGCATGAACTTTTCATGTTAATCTCGGCATGCAGTGGACGTTGGAGTTGGTTGATAATATTCAGCTCTAATTACATAATTAACTTGTTGCAATCGTTTGCGAGGTTGAGATCTTGCCAACCAAAGATGCGCATTTGAGTGTTTGCCATCAAAGTCGAAGCTCGAATTAACACCCAAACGCCAAGTTTTCGGTTTTATCCGTTTTGTACACTCTCTGTGAGTTTGTCACTCAACTGATTGTGCAACTTTTGGTCTCGTTCATTCGCTCTCTCAACACTGTTATAAGATCAGATTGGAATTCTATTATTCTTCTTTTCTGCCTCTCAGAGGGGAATGCCCCCTTATGTTCTATGGTAATTATTGCTCATGTGGATGAGTACTATCACCCCCTCTTAATTTATAAAAGTAATTTAGATTCACCCTGTATATTATATAATATACAGCTTCTTCTGGAATTTTAAGAAAGGAAACGAAATTTCTTGATCAGGCTGAAAATTTGAAATGTACATGCATATATAAATTATAATCTCAAATTCCAGATTACAGTCTAAAAACTCGAAGAATTTAAAACTAAATTTCCAAAGTGATGAAAGATATTTTAAAATTAAAGTATGAATAAAAAGAACTTGCAATCCGATCTTTGAGTGTGGATTTCAGTTTAACATCTGCGACAATTTTCAGTTCAACAGTTACGATAATCGAGTAATTTTGTTACCTTAAGAATCAAACTTTAGAAATTAAAGACTATAAAATCTTATATTTAATGCGATGTACAAGATGACAAATGTAAACTGTATAAAAAATTGCTATTATATTATTTCATAGTAAATTTATTTATTGATTCATTTAATGAAGAAATGACTGAATTATTTAAGAGCTGGATCGCTTCGGAAGAAGCATGCAATAATTAGTTTTGCAAAGCAAGATAGAAAATATTGCCACTTAAGGGCGGCAGTGGCCAGGATCTTCGAAATAAAAACAGTAAATACCTCGGAGAGACATTTTTTTTTTTTTTTTTTTGAGTCATCAAAAAAAGATTGTATAAAAGAAGACATAAAATTTATGAAGAATAATACATTTACATATTATTGAAATTTTACGACATATCTGTCGTAAAATTTCTCATAATGATTTATACTCGAATGATTTTATTCTTTATTTAAACTCTGAGCCATCAACGAGATTATCATTATCATTAGTGATTGTCTTGAAAGAAAGTTATCAGTTTTTCATCATCCGTTATTGGGAAATGAACTACTGATTAAAGAAAAAGATTATCTTTTCTTTATTCGTTATATACTATAATTGTTATCAGTTATCCCATAAAAGCAAAATGAAAGTAATTGCATAAATGATTTATATACAAATGTAAACGCCAGTTCTTCGGTACTATCTTTGATAAAATATCTTATTGCAACTCGAAAAATATCAGCTATGCAGCCTTGTTCATTTGCACTAATACTTTGCATATTAATTCTATGTGACAGTGAAATCTTAAATAGTCTTATATGTTACAAAATCACAAATTTTCTTAGCCGTGAAATATCACAAGAGTTTACTGCATAGTGGCGATACACATGAATAGCCTGAACATTCGAAACTTCATTTCAGTTTCTTCATAAAGATCTTGCAGATAGTTCCAGCAGATACCCTAGACACGTATCTTCTATTTCCTGGAGTTAAATAAATAATTTTAAACAACCAAGCAATCAAAATATGCTTTTTAACAACTAGTTGCAAAGTTCATTGATTCGTCACCGAAATAAATATGGAAAGTATCTTTGTTGAGAGAGAGACGCACTCAGTAGTAAACGTCTGTACTCGTCCGTCTGTAATAATGAATCAGTTTCAGGAACAGAATTCAACATGTGGTATCCACTTGTCGGGAAACCGATCACAGGACTAGGTTTAATTGGAAATCTATTATTACTCAGAAACATATTGTGATTTGGTATTCCAGAGGGATGAAGCAAAGGATATGAGTTGTCTGGTGCAGTAGTCTTGTATAAGTCCAGATTAGGTATCCTTTGAAAATCGCATGGTCCAGAACAGCACTGTAAGTTGTAAGGTGTCATGAAAGCATTGAAATGAGTATGATTAGTGTCTTGTTTATTCATAGCGTGATGCTCACCAAGACAGCGTTCCAAGAAACTGTTAAATCCGGGAGAAGTTATTTTGCCTGATTGAAAGGTTACTGGAGAAGTGTCCCTTTCTTTGACTTCTTCAGATTTAGCGCACTCCGGTGATGCTGAAGATAATTCTCTAGAATCAGTTGCGTTACATGATTCCTTATTTGGTGGACAAGTTTTCTTATCTATCGATGCCCATTTATTATCTTCAGAAAGTTTCTCATCATCTTTCTCAAAAAAGAAATCATCTGTACTTTTCCTGTAAAAAGAGGAAACATTACATGCATGTTACATGAAGGCAAACACTAAAATTCTATAAGATAAAAATAAATGCTGTGATTATCTTTTGTAATTTACAATTGTATGCTGTAGTTTAAATAAACTTATTTATCTTTTTTTACCTTAAATAAGCAATGGAAAATTTAACAGCTACCGTTACATTGCTGTTACTTCGAGATCCAATAATTTCAAATTTCAGTTAGTTCGAACACAAGATGAAGTCCCGAAAATCAAAATTTTTTTTAGTCCCGATAAGTGTCAAACTAACGTCGGTTCAATACATTTTGCTCTGAAGAACATCTGATTTCTGAAATTATACTATACTGTCATATTTCACGTAATTTCTGCATAAAATTACTCCAGCTAATAGTACCTTAACCTGATCAGTAAACTGTAAATATAAATTAATCCAGTAACGTAAACAAAGAAATGCTGTATGTACAATTAACATAGTACAGCTTCGATAGTTAGAAAATTTAAATTATTCGAGTTCTTGAATGCTTCTTCCTCACAACATGTATTAAATATTAATGTTAATTTTTCTCGAAAACCAATTTCTTTACTTCGGTTAGTCGAAATATTCGACAAGTCTAATCCTCCCCGAAGAGCACTGATATTAATTTCCCTGTCGATATATTGAAATCGTATATTATCTCCATACTTTGGAGATAGAGGACAGATGTCCTTCGCAGAACCCTTTATGCTTCCATGGGCCTTTTTAAGTCATATAGGCTTCATCACAAGCAACAGCTTATTTTTTCTGTTGTGAGGGTTTAGGAAAATCCTAATTTATATAGGAGCGAAATACAGATCTTTGCCTTGGATAAATAAAATTCAACTCTCTGGAATTTTATAATTTTTTTTGGTGCTTAAAATGCTTTTTTTTTTTTTTTTTTGTTTGGCTAAAACAAATTAAAAGGTATCGTCTTTTAAACCATTATTTTATTTCGTTTACATCATTGTTTTCACGCGGTATTTCACAATTCCTCCCCCCCCCATTTCTTTCTCGTGTTGCCATGGCGATGGCGTTTCCGACTTTACACTGCTATGCGATCGCTTCTGGTCTTCGAGTAATTTACCCCTCCTAGAAGATTGTACACGCCGTAGCAGTCACCTTGCTAATTCAGTTACACTGTTTAAATACATAATGTAATAAGTACATTTTATTCGAGACAAACTAGCATCAATAAAATTTGGATACACATACCGTTTTAATCTTTTGGAACCACCAGATTCTCGGAAACCTTTAGCAAATGGGTTATGATCAATCTTTAATTTTGTGATCTGTAAAGATAGTAAAATTAAGAATACATTACATAATGTTTCAAACATAAGTAATACTTTTTTTGAAGCATTTTAATTTTATTTTATAACGCTGCTTTCAACGGTTAATTTGTAAGCTGAAATAAAACCCTTAATAATACTTTCTTTGAGTGCTTTGAATGCACATGTGTAAAGTGTTAATACGCCGAAATGAAAACATTAGTTATATTTCTTTTCAAGTGTTTTGAATGCAGAAATTCAGGGCGTTAATTGCTAATATTTATTAACTTTTTCTTTTACAAATTTAACATTTCGAAAATTCTGCAGTCCAGGAAATAAAAGTTATTTAATTTACTCTTGCATAATAAGCTCTCAGAATGTTGCTATTCGGCAAGATGTTTAATTTATTATTTGAATTTAGTCCGTCTGTAATTGCTTAATAAGTCGAAATAATTAAAAGCAGTAAAAGTATGTCTTTATTTTTATACTAATACTTTTATTGTGCACAATAAAAGTATTGCACAATAAAAGTATTAATTTAAATCTTTTAATTTTTATAACCATATATTAATTGATAATACTTTTATTGCTAATACTAACTAACTAATTTAAACTATTGTATATAATAAAAGTATTAGTTTAAATCTTTTATTTCTTTTAATCATATATTAACTGCTAATAATTAAAACGCCTTAAAATGTAATTAAGACACAATAGCACACCGAACAAATACTAATTAAGAAGTCAAACACAAAAATCAGCGTTATATTTTCAAATTTTCACAGGATTAGTTTCGATGGTTTTACCGAACCACCATCCTCAGCTGCAAAAGCGCAAATGAACGAGATAGGATATAATGATTAGATAAGATAAGAAAGCCTGGACAGAAATAAGCTAGTGGCACCATCTGTTGATGAAACCAGAACTAAACCATAATTTCTTTAAAGGCCGAAGGCAAAGATTGATTGGAATTAGGATCGTTAACTAGAACAGAAAGTTTTTTTGAATGTGAAATGTCTCTAGAAAAGTTCTAGAAATGCCTAACATATGTTAGAAAAAAAAGGAAACACAGAAGTCTGTCGGTTGCCCAACATTGTTGGTCCGAAAATCACGCTTTCAATTTTTCTGCTGCCAAAATTATTCAAAAAACATCTTCCGTTGGAGAAGTAGATTTTCTAGAGCCATTTCACATTCAAAAAAATCTTTCGGTTCTAGTTAACGATCCTAATTCCAATCCATCTTTTAAAGAAATTATGTTTTACTTCTGGTTTCATTAACAGATGGCGCCACTAGCTTATTTCTGCCCAGGCTTTCTTATCTTATCTAATCATTATATCCTATCTCATTCATTTGCGCTTTTGTAGCTGAGGATGGTGGTTCGGTAAAACCATCGAAACTAGTCCTGTGAAAATTTGAAAATATAACGCTGATTTTTGTTGTTTGACTTCTGAATGAATACTTTAAAATGTGTTATTGTAATTAAGATGGGACGCTCCTAACGCCGTATATTACGTACCATGGTACAGAAACGTTTTATTTTCATACATATTTATGCTTTTATTTCTGTTTGTTAAGATAGACTTACATTTAGTTTCAATGTATATTTAGTTTCCTTTAAAAAAACTTTACTTTACCATAGGTTATTTATAATTACTTATCTTGTTTTATTTACTAGCTATTTTTTTACATTATTATTCGAATTTTCCTATATTTCCTTTATCTACAATAGTAAATAATTATAAATTTTTAATGGAATCATATGCATCAAGAATTGTTCCTTATTAAATTTATGTCGATTTTTTTAGTACTTTCTTTACTTATTTTCTAGAATGGGCAAGCTCTTTTTTGGATATTATTTGACTTCTCTGAAATCAGAAACCTGAATTTTATCAGTTTTCTCAATTATCATCTATGGAAGATGATACAACTCCAGAGTGATATTTTGAGAGATTCAGAACTCAACGAAATTAAACTGGACGTGAAAAAATGATTTGAAGATATTTTGAAATTGAAGGTACACTGCGAATAAAAGAAGGGGGGGGGGTTCTCGCAAAAATTGAACCGGATATTCAATATTTAGTTTTCCAGCATCAGCCGCAGGGATCCACTTATAATAAGGCATTTTCTATGTACGCAAAGTATAAATAAAAGGATAGATTTAAATATAGTAAGTTTTTTACCTAAAAGATTTATTCTGCCAAACTTGGGGAAAATCCTACATAAAGTACTTGGTAAGTAATTATTGTTATATGCTTGCTCTAACTCTGTACCAATACTGTGGAACCAATGGGCGGTTAGAAAATTTTACTACCAGCAGAAATACAAAAGTGGGCGGTAGGTATAAAAAGGTTGAGTACCTCTTTTTAAATGAAGCAAAATGTAAATCGAATTGAACTTACCTTTTGATTTTGATAAGCTGTTACAGCTATGAAATCTGTTTCATCAAAGGAGAAAGTTCTAAATTTTTTGAAGGGTAGTTTCGTTATATCATCAGCTCGAACGACATGGAACCTGGGTTGGTATTTGTGCATAGAATTTAATATTGTCTGAAAAAAATATGTCAAATATGTAATAAATATTATAGAAATATAATTCTGTAACATACATCGTGTAAATTTAAACATTTAAGTAGCCGGTTTCCCTTAGAAAGTCCTCCACAAAGGCATCCCTCCCCTTAGGCAGATAGCCCTCGTGTGCTTTGCCGTAATTAAATAAACCAAACCAAACCGTCTCTTCCACATTTGATAGAGATATAAGTATCTGCTAAGAATTAGCACTCGTTGTCTAGACTGAAGATTTGTTACTGAAAGTCCAGAGCAATATTAAGGAGAGCTCGTATACCTTAAAACTCTGAAGATCTTCGAATATCTTTTACTGTTGCAAGAATTGGGATAATTTATTTGTTTTTATTTAAAAAACTAGCGACCCGATGCCAGTTAAGTTGAGAGTAATGTATCTAACAACAGAAAGAATGATAGCGTTGCAATTCTTCTCTAATAACGATGCAAAAAATACGATTCATAGTCATACATTTTTCAGTCTGATGCGACAGGGATATAAAAAAATAAACTAATTATCTCTATAATTATATCAGCAACAATGGCACACAGTTTTCAATGATTTTCGTCTTTCCAATCAAAAATGGTTATAAAAACTCAAGTTCCTTCCAATATGTCACCTATATTCAATTTTAGTCCATTAAATGTGGCAAAAAATTGATCATAATGTGAAAATAATAACGCGAACAAATAAGCAAATATTCTTCTTTACATACTATATAGATAGATCTCGTAAAACTTACAAATTTTTGATTAACACACTCTACGATTTGAAAGCGAGCAGTAGCAACACTTTTTCAAAATAAAGCATTTAATCTCTAACGCGCGAGACTGTTGCCACTCCGAAAAATGAGTGCGAATTAGTGTTTTTGGAGTTTTTAATTAATATCTCGGCTGATTAAAGTCGTACGAAGATGGGAACAGTCGAAATGGCTTTCCACGAATTTTTGGAATCGGGAATAATGTATTTAATGTTTGTCAATGCTATTTTTGTTTCATTGTAAAACTTTAAAATTTTTTATTAACCAACTCGATTTGAAAGCGAGCAGTGGCAACACTTCTCGAAATAAAGCCAAGGAGGTTAGAATAGGGAGGGTTCGCAATTTCCTCCACTATCGGGGAATGAAGCTCCACGGAACAAGCGGCGTCCATGTTTGTAACTTCAAAACATTTGCCATACGGTAGTGAAACGTACGTGTTTCTCAGCTGTTAAATGCAGGGATTTTCCAGTAAAAATATCTTAAATTTATAATGAAATGCTTCGCTATTGTTAGTTTTTTGTTTTAAAGTTATAAAGATGATATCCGTTATTTACTAAGTACAGAAAATCATTAAGAAATAGTTCGAAATCTAAATGATGTTTCTGCATAACTTCAAGAATTTGTATAGGTTTTATTATCAACTTGTTGGGTATACTTTCCAATTGTTTCTTTAAGAAGTGATATTTCTGATTTATTCGCAATATTATTACAATTTATTAAAGAATCACTTAGAATAATTTTTACCTGAAATTAATAGCAGATAATTATCTAAAAAAATGGTAACATGTTGCTTTTTTTTAAATAAATGTTTTAAATAGATTATTTTCACAACGAACAACCTTATATCAACAAGCAAATAAATATTAATAAAATAAACCAGATTTATGTGAATTCAATGATTTCAGTTTATGCGCGTTTCATATTTATAAATCTCAAAGAAATTACCTTGAATTAAGCTGAATTACAGAAATGTACCTATATAAATTTTTGGATATATCTTTTCACACGTTCAATTGTGTAAATATTTTACTTACTTTTATCGCTATAATGCCCAGAAATTTGTAAGTTTATGCAAAAAAACATTTTAACAACTAGAACAGTTTATCTCGATCAAATGCACAAATTATATTCGTAACAGTTCACAAAACTTAAAAATGAATAATAATTAATGCATAAAGAAAAGCGTTGCTTTATTTAACACTTCTACAATTCATAAGAATAGTAACAATTGATTTCTTACTTTTCATGAAAATTATAAAACTATTTACCTAAGCGTTCAAATCATACAGTTTAATTACTAGCACATATCATTGTATGTTAAGGAACGAAGATACCAGCTGTAAGCAAAAACATTAAAATGTATTTAACATGTTTCGACTATTATTAAGTCTTTTTTTTTCACATCTGGAAAGAAAACAACATGACATTGTGATATTTTTTAACATATTTATGAAATTACACACACACACACACACACACACACAAAGAAAATCAATACTTACGAGTGAACAATAATTCCAGGAATATTTTTTGAAAATCTATTTGTGCATCCATATGCAATATAAGCTGACATGCGTCAAAAAGAAAAGGGGAAAAAATGTTACAATTACAGACTTCCTTGCACAAGTCACAGTGATAACAGTAACATGGCCGCCAAACTTCACCGTTTGAGTTGAACCTTCCTTCCTTCTATTCTAACCTCCTTGAATAAAGCAGATTTTTATCTCCAGCCTGCGAGACTGTTGCCACTCGCAAAATTGAGGTCGAAAATTAGCGTTTTCAGAGTTTTAAATCTCTGATTTTAGCTTTTTCTTTTGAAAAAAGTGGACATCAGAAGGTTTAGTGACGATAGATGTACTCGTAGTAATGACTGAGTTAATAGCGAATAAACAGACATTCTTCTTTATATATATATATATATAGATTATTTTTTTGCATGTGGCCCGCGATAGTTACCACTTAATACAGCGAATTAGGAGCATTATTAAGATTCACCAAACGATTGAAAATATTCAAGGAATGTTTTAAAGTTAATAATAATCGCAATAATCGTAACTACTAAAAATAGGGAAAAGAATTCTTTGGCTCAAGAACTTTCTGAACGGTGATTCCTGCAGAATAAATAAAAATTTGAGTTGGGATTTTTTTTTTTTTTTTTTTTTTTTTTAAAAAACCAGCTGGAAGAAAGGGAAGGACTGAAGGTAAGTTTCATGCATTATTTTATTGGCGAAACTAAAGTATCGAGTGCATGCTAAATTCCGTGATTTCTTTGTTAGGCAATGACTATGGTGCTACTTTGGTTCACGGGCGCACGGGTTTTTTGGCATTTTTTTTTTTTTTTTTGGCGCAATTGTTGGCACGATGGCACCCATTACTGGAACATTGATTTAAGGTAACCCATAGTTCGCGCGCTGTGCCGTTTGACGTAATTTTATTTTTTTAAATAATGCGTTTTAATATGTATAAAATGTATCATGTAATCAATATTAGCAGTGGAGCGCCATACCGTATGACGTGATCTGCTTTGGTTGCTTTTAATCGATTATTTTATTTTATTAGCTCGCTGATTGGTTATAGAATATTTGTGCATTACCGCGTTATTTTTAGAAATTTTATTCCGTTATACGTACACGCAGCTTTTACAGTTCGTTCTATTTTGGATAATTACTTGGTATTTGGATAGAAATGGCTTCTTTAGTGTTACCTTTGAATATCATTATTGGTAAGTACCTACAATTATTGGTATCAGAATCTACTAATTCTTCTTTGAGACCTTATTTTGGCCAACTTGACTTTCCAAATCAGAGGTTTATTTATAAATTATTGCAAGGGTCAGAGGAAATTTATTTTAAACTTTTGAAGGAAACTTCGCTAATTGCTTCATCAATGAAGTACGAGAGATGTGGATCAAAAATGAAGTATGTTGAAAGGACCGATTACTTGAAAATTAACCATTCGCAGATCCTGACATCGAAGCTCGCACAATTAGTTGAAAAACAATGGCGTGACTTCAAAAACTCTTTGCCGGTTTACAATCGTCGAGGAGAGTTTGATGGATAGCCTGTTAATTTGTTTAGGAAAATTCGCTCTTCATTGAATGAGCATCCTCATGTTAAATTTCTCGAAATTATTCGAGATATAAATTGGGCTGATTGGCATGTAGTTTAGGGAGAGGCACTTAAAAGATCTTCGGAATCTTAAAAACAATATCTGTTACTGAGGATAATTTTTTTATTTTTTCGAATTTTTTAATTTTTTTTAATCTTTATGTCCCATTAATTTGGCTATAAATTATTTTATGTATTTATAAAGTTTTCGCTTTTTTTAAAAATAAATTTCTGTTCCCACAATTTTGGATTTTTCAAATTGTTTTCATTGGAATCTAAATTATGATTGATTTTTTTTAATGGTGGTACTTGCCAATATATGCTCAAAAGCTATTAGACAATCGACAAAAACTCAAGTGCATATTTTTATAGTACTTTATTATATGTTCATTTTTTATAAAAAAATAATGTATTATTTTCAAAAATTGCTATGTTATTTTATATTGCCTCAGATGCTTTGCTCTTTTGTAGTTTAATAACTATATTATATACAATTACTTTCTTTTGAAGTGTTTCAATTCAATTAATAATTTAATCTGATTAAATGTTGGCATGACGTTTTTAAAGCGGTGTTTTTATTCTATTCCTTTGCTATAAAAGTAATAATTTAACCATACTTCAGTATTTTTTATTTATTTACAATCGCCTGCCATCATGAAAACGACGTTTTCAACAAAAATTTAATATATTATTTTTAACGATATGACATATTTTTAAAATTTTGGATATTTTGCTTTGCATAACGGCGTTTTTCAAGACGGGAGGCGATTGTAAAAATCGCGCCCCCCCCCAAAAAAAAAAAATCACCAAAAATCCGTGTGCCTGTCTACCAAAGTAGCACCTACGTTAGGGTGTACATTGAAGTTTCAATTATTCTAGAGGAGTCGTGATTACCGAGGCTGTGCGTGATACCGTGTTTGTGAAATTCTGATATTTTTTTTAATGAAAACAACTTGCTGTGTACATGTAAAAACAAGAGTAATGTATCGTATAATATATATAATGCTATATGTAATGCTTAATGTACGTAATGTCGAGTTTGTGCAGTTGTTTGATATTTTTTTAGTGATAACACATCGCCGTTTACCTGAGTAAAAAACGGTAATCTGTGTGTATTTTGTGCAATGTTGAATATATCTTTTGCGTATTTTTAATTTCGATTGTTGTATTAATCCTAAATTTTTTAATCATCATTTTTGTATTTAAAATTCTGCGTTTTAATTTTTTTTAATACTTTGATAATGTTTTCCGACTTACCATAACTATAGATATACTAGTTTGACAATCTTTTTAAAAAGAGTAGGAAAACTGCAAACTTGCTCCTAATAAATAACGTTTACCTTAATATTTTATTAATACGCACTGATTTCTACTGTAATTTCACTTGCTATTATATTTTCTGCGCGAAACATTGCGTATTATTCTGAAGTTTGTAGTTTTTATTTTTTATCCTATTTTGCTTATTGTGAGAAATTTGATTTTTGCCGGCTACTTATATACGACTATTGCTTAAGAGATAATATTCCTAAGAGAATATTAGAGATATTGCTTAAGAGATAATATTCCTAAGAGAATATTAGAGATATTTCTAAGAGATGTGTATGTCATTTAGGAATTTAAGAGTAGTGAAATGAAAGCTATGCATGATGTTCGTTTGCCATATATAAGGAATTGTGACGTCGTTTAGCAATAAAACGATTTGTGAAAACGGTGCAATTAAAATGTTCCATGATATGAAATAAATTTTTAAAATGTTTTTTTCTTATCTTGACAGTGCTTAAAAATATTTGAAAATAGTGAAGTTGTATGAAATACAGGTATATGAAACTGCGACGTTAATTACACTTTTAATGAAATATTCTATGATGTTAATTTTAAAAAAAAAATTAGTATGCTTAACTTTAGTAAAACCAAAGCTTAATTATTAGAAATGTAAATTTTAAAGAATGAATTTTAAGAAAACAACTGATTATTCTTATTTTCAGTTCAAATAATATAAAATGCGAGATTACGTTGTGACGTTACAAGCTTAGTCTCATCCAGTCTGTACTAGTTCAGAAACAGGCTGATTAATTTACTTTTTTCGTTGCACCAACCCACCCTGCTGCCCCCCCCGATGCAGCAGAAGATATAAATTTCATATTTCATTTTTAGTTTTCGCATGTTTTGCCCCCTTTGTCTTGCAGTTTGCCACTGTGCTTCTGGTATTTAGTCTTTTGCATATGTTTATTCTGAAATTTTATGGGATAAAATTTAAGTGTATTATTTTTAATTTATTTTGCGTTATTATCTCCACTGTTTGCTGCTTTCAGCACGTAACTGGTTTAGATTTTGAACTGCTTTGTATTTATTCATTTTATATATAATCTCCAAGAGTAGCTTTGAATTCTACTTTCTTTTGCACAAGTCCACAATTTGGGAAATGATGGTCTTTTTAAGAAATTAAGTTTACGTTTTATTCAATATTTTTGTTTTGCACTAGGTTTTCAGTTTTTTTAGTTGTTTAAAGCTCGGGTTAGAAATTTATTTGTGGAAATCTCTTTAGAGAAGTTTTTGAGTTTTTCATTAAAAGTTTAAGGTTCACATAATCGGGGTAATAATGTAATAACATAATATTACAAAACTCCAAGTAAAATCTTCTATGATCGAGTACATGTAATAAAAGATTGATCAAAGTAATGTTCTGTTTGTAAAAAAAAATTAGAGTTCAATACGCCTCTATAATGAACTGGAACTTATTTAATTTATCTAGACTTGGAATTTTATATTATAAATTTTTGCTACAGTTTATCCTTTATTTATCTGTAAATATAAATATTTTATAAGTACAGCATTCGAAAGAAATTGAAATTAGTGCTTATAAAAGAAGGGTGCAGTATGGATATGTATGTGGTACACTGTGAGTTGTACAGCAATGCATTCGTATCACTTATCCATATTACAGGGAAAATAAAGTACAATTATTTTCGTACTTAAAATTAAGTCCTCCGATTTTTCCGCGATACATTCTAAATGTTGATTTATCGAAATTTTGTAATGCTCAAGAAACTTCGGATTTTTCTTAAATCTGCGTCACAGCGACTCAAATAGTTTTTTTTGCTACCTCAAAATTCTTCCGTAATCCCCCCTCGTGCAGCAAGGAATTTACAAAATGTCGAAGTTTTCTAAAAATAACTTCGTCTTCTAACCTGTGACTGTCATCAGATTTATTAGAAATTCCCAAAGCTTCCAACTGCCATAAATTTCTCGTCATTCTGGACGTGGAATCGACTTCTAAATTATTTTAACTTTTATCAAATTCTGTATAATATTAAATGCTTCTGACGCATTTCATGCAATTTCTATTCCGCTCCCAGACAACCCCAATTTAATTTCTACCGCTAATAATAATTCTGAAATTCGGCAGAACTTTTAAAGCATCCACGAGAAAATCTAACTTTTAAAGATTTTCTTTATAAAATTGTTTGTACAATATACATTCTTTTGCAAAAAAATTGTAGCACCAAGAAGGAATTTGGTATGCAAAAACACCTTAATCGAACATGCAAATGATCAAAGTTTAAAGGCAAATGAACAGGATTTGCTATCATAGCGCGCATTTCTAGTGTGCAATTCGCAAAGTATAAAACCAGTAACAGAGGCGGAAAATTTATCTATTTTTGTTGCTGCCACTGTAATTCTGTAAAGCAGCAAATAAAGATGCCATTACGACGATATCGAAGACCGTACAGACAACTAAACGACTTCGAACGTCGTCACATTGTAGGTTTGCATGAAGCTGGGTGGTCATACCGAGCAACAGGCCGCCACCTGCAGCGTACTGACACTGCTGTGCAAAGATGTTGGCAGCAATAGTTGCTACAAGGAAATTGCCGTGTCTGGAAAGGACGGGGCCAGCGATCCCAATCAGCCTGGTGCGAAGGTGTGGAGCGCAGGCGCTATTTCTTATGACAGCAGGTCATCTTTAGTCATCCTCCGTACATCTTTAACAGCTCAAGGATATGTTGATACCATCCTGCGGCCGGTTGCATTACCCTTCATAGCACGTCATCCTGGGGCCATTTTCCAACAAGATAATGCCAAGCCACATACCGCTCGCATATCTCTGGACTATATCCGCCCGGTTGATACTCTTCCTTGGCCAGCAGACTTTTCACCAATCGAACATGTCTGGGGCATGGTAGGCTGCCAGATTCAGGCACCACAAAATATCGCGGATCTGGAGCGACAACTGATGAATGACTGGCAGAATGTGTCGCAGGATGACATTAGGAACCTCTACCACTACTTGCCCTCGACGAATTCAAGCATGCATTGCTGCCAGGGGCGGTTCGATCAACTACTAATTTGAACACTCAATGGGTTTTTGTGAGCCGTGAACAGATACTATGACTTTGATCGTTTAATCATTTTATTATCCATGTATAAGCTATACACATATTCAGTTTCATCAAAAACAACCACTTCCTTCATGGTGCTTCAATTTTTTTTTTTTTTTTTTTTTTTTTTTTTTTTTTTTTTTTTTTTTTTTTTTTTTGCAAAAGAGTGTATATACATATATAATGTTTCAAATAACATTATTAAGTTTCTTAAACTAGTAAGAAATAAAATAAGATAATTGCATTTGGACACCGATCAGTTTAAATTTATTAATAACTATAATTAAACTCTAGTTCACATTTCATAAATTAAATTCTAGTTCACCACATTTCATATGTATATTTTATTTGCACGAGAACCGGAGGCGTGCGATGCCTATCCCAGGTACATATGGATTTTTTAATCTGATAAGAAAATTTAGTTCTAATATGTTAGAAATTTCAAGTGTTTCTGAGATCAAGAGCCCTGTGATAATACAGAAAAAAAATTTAAAAAAAAAAAAAAATAGAAATCACATTATTATTTCGACTTACATGACTGTGCTTGTTTGAAATATTGTTGGTGATCTTGAGTTTATGGAAGGATACTACTTTCTGCATCCATTGCTCGCCTGTAGAAGGGGAATCTGGGTGAATATACATTCTCTTGGGCATCTCAGGATCGGCTTTTCCTGCCACCACCCACCTGCTGTTGTGGAACTTGTACCGACAGTCATCTGCAGCGACTATGTCCATAAGGAGAATATACTTTGCTTTTTTGTCCAGGCCACTGACACGAACTTTAAATGCAGGGAACATACGCCTACATAAAATAATTCAGAGATTTTTATCATAAGAAATATTATGTTGCGTTCAATTTTATAAAAAATTTTGATTTCAAAAAGTACTTTTTACTGCTGTTTCAAAAACTTTTTTTAAGTCAATAATTTAGTTAAGAAAATGAAACATCTGCGTTATATTTTTATGATGAAGATATGTATGGAAATATAAATCGGTAAATTGTCTTTCCTGATTAAAGCAAATTTAATAAGGAACTCAAGAGGCACAGATAACAGGCACTAGTTGAAGTATCTAACTAAAGTGGTCTTAGTTACCTTTACTTTCTGAATGAAGTAGTTATTTCATATCTGATTATAGTGAATTACATTTTTGCCTAGAATCAACAACAACAACAACAACAAAAAAAAAAAAAAAAAAAAAGGGAGACCCCCTCTTAATAAAATTATAAAATTATGTCTCGGAGAAAATTAGTCGCCTAAAGTGAACTTCGAATAAGTAGTCTGTTTTACATGAAAAGTTATCTTCCCTTCACCAATGAAGTAATGATATTCCATTTTATACACAGCAAAGTTTATTTTATGACTAACTGCACCAGAGAAATATTAATTTTCTGTTATTACCATGCAAAACGGCGAGAGAATTATAGCTGTCCGAGCTGGTAATGTAAATAAGCAGGCAGAAATGAGTGATAAACTCTTAACTGGCGTCTCAATGACAGTGAGCTGCAGGAAATGATGGAAATGCAGACCTTGATTTACATAGCAACAGGGCCGTTGAAATAACAAAAATAGCTTTGGAAAAATACATAGCAAACATAGATGCAAACTTGGGGCTCGAAATAATATGGAGAGCTGTATTTTTCAAGCGCAATATAGAAGCAAAATACACATTACTTGAGAACATTGTATCATTCTTCAATAATTAGTGCACTCTTGTAAATAAGAGATACACCAGGGGCTCTCAACCTTTTTCTGCCCTATGCCTCCCTTTCACCATTGCCAGAAGATCTTCCTCCTTTCCAAAACTCAAAAAACAAATATATACATTTATCTAGATCGAGATGATTTTTCGTGAATAAATGATAATGAATAAACTACAAAAAGAGTAAAAAAATGTTGATAAATACCAAAACTTGAGCAAAAGAAGTAATTTTTATATTTATAAACTAAAACTACATACGTAACAGCTAAATATAAGGATGACCGCATTTCCTCCTAAAGCTCTTAAAATCCTCTCCAAAGGGGGAGGAAGCTCACCAGCGGCCGAGCGGTAAAGACGCTGAACACTGGTAGTTCGGTCTGAGGTTTGAATCTCGCGAACGGGCTGGCTGCATGTGTGTTTTCGTGGTTTTCCCAATGTGTAACGAGCCCGTTTCCCTTAGAAAGTCCTCCACGAAGGCATCCCTCCCCTTAGGCAGATAGCCCTGGAGGCTTTGCCGTAATTAAATAACCTAACCTAGCCTAACCTAACCCTTAGAAAGTCCTTCACGAAGGCATCCCTCCCCTTAGGGATCTAGCCCTCGTGTGCTTTGCCGCAATTGAATAATCCAATCCAATCCAAAGGGGGGGGAGAATTTGAGAATTCTTTCCCAGGTTTATACAGCCCGATAAACTGAATTGTGATGGAAAGTTCGAGGCCATTTGAACGGATGTTCCACCGTGGGATAGTAATCTGCCAATTTGATAATTAATTTGAATTCATGATCTGCGTGAAAATGTTATGAGAACTTGTCAGAATAAAGTCTTGAGCATGTTGTATCTTTAGATCTTCATGAATTTGTTGGTTCCTTACAAACCACGGGGCGTTTGTAATCTTTTTCAGAATTTTATTTTGAAAAAGAACAGTTTTCTTTCTATAAGTTTTTAGTCCTCTTGCTCATACAGAGACAGACATACAGCGTAGTAAAGTACTGAACGGATTAAAGCCAGATACAAACTGTCCTTTTCACTTTAAGTGAAGCTTCGATTTTCATCCTGTAACACTGTAATTAGCCATTAAAGACACCATTAGCTGTGTTCAAAGCGTGAGTAACTTGTTCTTTGTGTGAAGTTGAGAATTTACAACTGGAAGGTTTGGGTTGTTGATTCGTATACTAAGGCTGACAGCTAGGTGTTTTTCTTATTCCCTGTATAACGAATGACATGGCATTTATTGGCGTTAAGCTTAACTTTCTAAAGGTCACACAAGTGAGCGACAATATTTAAGCTGCGTTGCAAATTATCAAAAGCATGCTACTTTATTTCACTGATTTTGTTATATTCAAAGTGTTGTTCCCATACTTGGCAGTTCCGGCAAAGAGCTCGGTCCTAAGCAAGACACCTACGGAATTCCAGCGTGAATTAGTTTGCTTTGTGAGAAAGTATCTCTCACAAAAACTTAATGTTCAGCGCTTAAAATATAACTTGATTAGTTTTAATATGTTAACAGAAATTTTGATCACAGCGAATTTCTACAGCAGTGATGCCAATATTCAATCGAAGGTATTTTCCATATCAAGAAAGAAAGGCCGCAACACATTGTTTTTTTTTCATCAAGCAAAGAGGGGGGAAAGTACAATTTTGAAATGGAGAGGCAGCACAAATCGAAGAAGTAGGCAGCAGCGAGATCATTAAAGAGTTAATAAATACAACTAGAATTTACCAAATAATGTTGTATATTGCGAATACATGTTTCCATGAATACATCTGAAAAGAATGAAATTTCGTAATTTCATGTCTGAATGGTTACCAATTACTGAATGCAATATAAGAGTTCTCAGATTTAATGCCATTCGAAAAATAATTTAACTTTGGTTACAGATAATTTTGGTTACGGGTTGTTCAATGAAATATTTTTAAGTAAATTAAATTTATAGTGTAATTATTTTGTATCTAGTAACCATATGCATATAAATCCAGATTCTAGTCATCCATGGAGATTTCTGTATATCCTGAAGCTTGTTCATAACTAAACGGTTCTGCATCAAAGTATACAACATAAAGCAATGGTAACAGCTTTTAGTAACTAATGCTTGTATTATGTTAGTAAGATATACGATTAGAAAAATAAAGGTAATGAACAAATTACTATAAAATTTATTTATTGCTTTTAAACAGCTGAATTTGTTAACAAAAATTTAAATTGATTAAATTTCAAGGATATATTAAAAAATTTTTGCTTTGCCAAATTAAGCTATCTGCATGACTGCTTGAAAGATAACTTACAGATATTTATGTTTCAAGCACGTGTCAAATTGCATAGGTAAAACCTGAATAGCAATGTATTACACACTTGCTCAAAAAATAAGCAACAAAGGCAAAACACGAAATAAAACAAGAGTTATTTAATGGATATGCGTGAAATTGATCCAAGAGGTTGGTGTAGCATTGTTAGACCACATAGCAAACAATAAAGCAAAGACATACAAAAATACATGCATTACAACCATCACACTGTGGAGGACCAAATGGGTCGGAAGAATGTGCAGTGGAAACATCAAACTAATAACGAGTATGATACCCTCTAGCTGAAATGCATGCTTGACAAGGCCGTGGCTAGCTGGCAATAGTGTTTGTTGTGGCAGTAGCGTCCATTCTTGTAGTAATGCATGTCGGAATTTGAGGAGAGTGTCTGGCGGTACATTGCAACATGCTATCTGTTGTCTCGACATGTCCTGCACATGTTCTATGCGATTCAGGTCCGGTCATCTAGCAGGCCACGCAGATGTGGAATTGTTTCACTCTTCAAATAACTCCGTACCACTCGCTCTACGCGGGCGGACTTTGTCAGCCATAAATATCACGTCGGTACCCATTGCAGTGATAAAAGGACTCGAAAGAGCGTGTAGAATTTCGGTCGCGATATCGGGCGGTTGTGACAGAACCACCAGGAATAACGTAGAGGTCGATGCATCATTTGTAATTAGTTGTCTGTTTGAGGTTTTTGTTAAAAATCATGTTTGTCAGGCGTTCTCTAGTTTCCCCAGTTCAGATCTGCTCTGTATTCATAGAAGTTCAATTGTTACTTGATAACTTACAGATTGAATTTTTTACATGGAAAAACTTGCCAATTATTTTTAGACTGAAGCATTTTAATGAATATTCTGTACCTGAATTGGGATAGTTAAGTGTTTCTGAAAATTTTGAATGCATGTTCACTGCAATTTGATATTTGAAAGACAAGGTCAAGATCGTATTTGACGAATATCATATTTCTAAAATAGTAATTTAACAGTAATTTTTCATATTGATTAAAATGTTTCTAAAGTGTACACTCCAGCAGGGTACACTTTGGAATTCTTTTAACAGAATTAGTGATTTCATACACGAAAAGCTGAGTTTAAAAAAAACATTTTGTGGATATATTTCGTTTACTCCGGGAAGAAAGCGCATTTATGGGATCTCCAGCAACAAGCTTCAAAATTTCTGTAACGGTAAACTCATTTCATGCTTCTAATTCGTTTATGGATGTATGTATTAAAATTTATTAGATGTAAAGCTATTAGATGTAAAAAAATAATAATTATTATTCAATATCCGTGTGCCACTCACAGCTTACTCCATTCAAAATGTTAACCAGTTAAGTCATAACCAGTTATTTCGGAAACACAAGTATGATACTTTGTGTAATGAAATGTTCTTCAGCAAAAAGGGTTTCACAGTTTGAGCATTGAGAAAATAATATTTACCTTCCGGATTTGGTAATAACCATTTCTGTCCCCAAAGCGTGGAATCTGTCCCATAATTCTTTGGATTCAAGGGTGACTTCGGGGTCGTCTTTTACACCGTCATTCTCCTCTGCTTCTGGTCCCAGACCATATGCACTGGGAGAGTAGTCCTTGGTTAAACAATGAGGGTATATCATAGGTCCAAATAAAGGATACGAGGTAGGTGGGGTTAAGAAAGAGTTCGTACGATAATCCATCAGAGGTGCTGCGGGATAAGTATTGTGAGGAAATCCATACGGATACAGCTGGGTATGGAACGCCATCCCTGAAGGAGGTAGGAAAGGAGAATCCAGGGTCATTGGCTAAAATGTTGAATACCTTAAAAAAAAAAAAAAAAAAAAAAAAAAAAAAGTAAAATATTAAAGCATTTGCACATTTTAGACAAGAACATTATTTCAAAAAAGCTTCATATTGCTGTAATGGTTTCATCTTGCTTTAATTCAAAATGGATAACGCAGCCCGCCAAAATCCAATTATTTCATTGGATCATAGATCCACCACAAAATAAAGGCTATGAAATTTTTACCGATGGATCAAAAATGGATGACGGAGTTGGAGCAGCTTTTTGTGTATTTAAAGATGGTATTGAAATTTTTACAGCTCTTTATACATTAAATCACTTTTTTGCTCTGTTTTTCAAGTAGAAATAAATGCTCTATATCAAACTTTAAAACGGGTTCACTTAAAGCTTCATAAAAGGCAATGTCATATTTTCTCTGATAGCCAAGCAACGCTGAAAACTGTTGGCAAGTTTAAGTCTACTTCTTTTATTACTCAAGATATTCGACAGTTGTTGTCACAAACGAATATGTTATTTTACACTGGATTAAAGGCCCCGCAGGCTTTCAAGGAAATGAATTTGCCGATCAAAAAGCTAAAGCAGGAATTGCCCAAGGCTTTCTGTTAAATATCAAGATATCTATTAGCTACGTTAAAAGGAGTTTAAAACAAGAAGAGCAAAGAGGATGAGATGCAATTGAAATAAGTCGATATACTTAAACCTTACTTCTTAAGGTTAAGACAGCAAGACTGTTCAGATTTCTTTTTGACGCACATTTTTACTGGACACGGAGCTTTTCCTTCCCAATTGAATGTGTATAAGCTAATGAAAGCTAGATGCTTATGTGGACTTCCAATAGCCGATGCTTCCCACGGCTTGTAGAATGTCAAGCCTTTTCATCTATTCGAAAGCGTTTTCTCAACAAGGTCTTTTTCAATAGACACTTTTCGAACTTTATTAAAAATGGTAAAGGACGCTGACTTATAATCAATGTTATGAAATATATTTATGATTATGAAGCTCAACTGTATCCTTCTCACTGATTTATTGAAATCATGTTTTTCACATTTATATTACTATGCCAATATTTTTGTAAAATGAATTTTTCTTATCAGTTAAAATTTGGCATGAGTAAGTCAAATCTATGTCTATCAGTTAAGATTTTATTTCTAATTTTTGCATATCCTATATTTGATTTATCTTGTGTTTTTCACTTCGCTACCTTAATTCAAGTCAATTTATCTATCGCTGTTTTAAATAAAGAGTTTGACGAGGTCAACGAATTTCTCCAGACAGAGGTACCAGCTTTTTGTCCCTGATTTGACCTCTTTTTATTCAAAATTTTGTAGGGATTTTTTATATTTATTTTAACTAATAATTTAAATTTTAGTTCAGCCTTCATTCCCCTAATTGTCAGTGCTAGAATAGTTAAATTTGGTAGCGCGCGTGCAAGAATGCAAATTCTACTTTGAGGAGGAAAGTTTAAATACCGAGGTTTTAGAAGGGAAGTTAGTTGGGCTCGAGCAGCCATCTCTGCCGTAGGTACGTTTGCTGGTTCAAGTGTCTTAAATGCATTTATCTGCTGCTACTAGTTTTAGAAGGGGGACGAAATTCGGTATCTCGCTGAGCCCTGTAGATTAGTTTAGCACTTGTTAAACATTTCAACTTTTGATTTTCAATTACCTGCTTTTCAGTTACCGCCCAAGTAGAGGCGAAGTTTGTTAGCGTCGAGTTGACGCAGTGCAAATTTTAAACAGTTAATAAAACCCTTCTTCTGTGTAGTTTCCTGATACTCCTGTATCCAGATAGAATTAACTCACCTGGACACTACAATTTAATGAAACTCAAAATTCTTTAGTCTTTTGGCTTACAACGTGATACCTCTTTAAAGAGGTGAAGACCGTTCTACATTTCATGTTGTTTCTCGCCCCCCCCCGCAATTCTGAATTCCTAAAAAAAATATTGTAAGCTTGACACGAGTTATGTTTAGAAATATGCATGCGTACGTAAGAGAATGAAAATAAACGGACTTTAAACCACTATAGACGCACTTAGCTGATCAATGTTTGCGTTTACAAGAGATGTTTTCGAAAATGAGCAATCAAAAACAATCGGAGAGAGATCGCTGAGCAGTCAAAAAATTTTATTTCTCTCCGCGCGACAAATTAACAATATATTAACCTGTCATTCGAGACAAATCATTGTGGATTGAAAACAAGGGTTGAACGTTTTACAGTCCATAGGCACGTTGGTTGGTCATTTTAATTTAAAGCATTATTCGATTCGTTAGAGAATCGAGGGTTTACTAATTCGGTATAATTGCCGCATTTTCGCGTTTACACATGACAATAATCAATCCACACACGCGCACGTATTTCATTACTCGTGGATCTTCCACCTGCTGTAATATCGGATGCGTAAATTTTTCCCCATTGTTGTCCTCTCATTGTTATAAAATGCTTCTTTGCATTATTATTTATGAACGGAACAGTACTTAGGAGTCTTATAGATTGTCAAACAAATATTTTTCGCTAATGCCCAAAGTCGCTGACAGAAAGAACCTGGTAATATTTCAATTACCATCGCTTGAGCAGTGAAATTAAAGAATATTTTCTCGAGGTATGTGAATGAACCGGATCGGCGTCACGCTTTTCGCCGCTCGGTGCAATCTCTGAGGTTCTGCCGTCCTGAACCTCCCGAGATTCTAAAAATTTTGCTGCCGCTATATTTCGCCGTTCGGTGCGGCCTCACCAGTTGCATCGGCCCTGGAATGGATAAGGAAAAAAACTTTCTTGTACGATTTATTAAATTACACATATTTTTTGCTGCACTTCATATAAATTTATTTTATCAAATTATTCTAATTTAATGAAGCGATTCGTCGAGGCAAGTCGAAAATGACATCAAATATTGCAAATTTTGAAATTAAATATCCCGGTCAATTTTTGTCGTACGGGAGCGAATTTTCTTCTAATTTTATTTTTTCATAAAGAGTATAACCAGATTCCGTTATTTGTTCGAAAATTAAATTTTTTTATAATTTCACATTGCAAAATCGTGAATATTTTCGTTATTTAAAACACTTCTGTAACTGCAATCAATGATTGAGAAAATAAAAGGCGGGTAAGGCCTTTTAAAGCCGGGTAAGGGTGTATGTGTGTGTATATGTATATATATTTATATCTATACAAAGTTCTAAGGTTCTACGGCCGATCATTTTTAAGTTACGCGAGATACATACATACATATGTAAGTGCGCACAGATGCCACGAAAAAATCCCTATCCAATCTGGAATCTATTCTGGAATCTGGAAACAGTTCTTTATTCTTAAAAAAAAAAAAAAAAAAAAAAAAAATCGCCAGAATGGATTCAGAAACGATCAAAATGGATATTTCCGTTACTACGATAGCTGAAATTTTTCGCGATTACACTACTTCTTCCTTTACTTCGTACAAGGAAGTAAAAAGACAATCTCTGCTGCATTATGTAAAATTTCATGCAAATTTGTAAACTTTAATTGTTAGTTAATGTAACGTCAAATTTTTTCCTTTGAAATTTGCGAAATTCTGAAGATAGCAGTAGAAATCTCTTTATTGTTTTTGCGGCCGTCAGCTTCGACGCTACTAGAAAAACAGAAGAAAAAAACAAATCAATATGTGGCGCCATCTGTGTGTAAGGATACGAAGTACATACTGATGGGAGTCGATGATTTATTATAACTTTGGGGTGACTCGAGTTAAGTTCGAATTTTAAAGCTAAATTTTTATACTCTAATCTGAAATTTCCAGAGCATATACTCCTTCCCCGTCTAACTTGGCTTTCTGTATAAACAAACTTCAGTTATCGTAGTACATTCCCCCCCTCCCATTTCTTGAAGGCTGAAATTTTATCTGATAGCTGCAAAATTTAGATCCCGTTATCTTGTTGACACATATTTAATGAAATGAACTAAAAAAATACTATCGCAAGATATGGAAGTTTCAAAACAAATTCATTGTGCGCTGACGGCTCGGATGCTCCTAATTAAAGTGTCTCAATGAACAATTTTTAAAACAATGGATTAGATTAAAAAAAGTATCAAAATATTTTGTGCCGAGGTATACAAAATGTATGGCTTTAGAACATCATCCCCTATTAATTATAATAATTATCATTTGAATATGTTACAATTAAGTGTGAGGCCATATTTTAAATGAAATATAATTCGAACTAAATCAGTTAAATAAATTATGAAAAATATAAAACAAGGATTTAAAAATACGTTTATTGCTTTTACATCTCTCACTCTTTTACGAAATTATAATATGAAAGACAAATTAAACATTTTACACCATCTCAAATGGAAACACTTGGGAATTTGCCAAGCTGCTTAAAATTAAATTAAAAATAATACGTTGGCAATGGCAGCATTTGAAAAATTCCGAGGAGGATAAATCCCCGGCAATCTAATGAAACAGATTAAAAAATTTTACGAATACTCCTCTAAATATGTTCCTAACGTTCAAGAGTTTTATTGGCTTTGAATCCCAAAAGAGATATGTAAATGTTATTTTCTAGATATTTTTTGTGATTTGCTTCATCCGATCCATTTGTTTATTGACTGCTTGTTATTTGAAGAATTCTATAAAATTCTTCGGTGTGATCTACTGTTAAATAATTGCCTTCTTAACATGACAGAAACAAATGGTCTCATATGCCATGGTCGTAGCTCGATCACAGTAATCATTTTTAGAAATATTAACATTAAAGTAGTGATAACAATATCGAATAACAAACTTACGAATAACTTGAATCTACTCGAAAAAATTATTTGAAGACCCGAAATTTAAACCAACTCTACAATGAGCTCTGGTAGCCAAACAGCGATATGTAAATCTATTACGAAAGATTATTGTCTATTACGAATAATTATTATCGATTACGATCTCTCCTTCAGAAGAAAAATAAATCCGAAAATGAAATCCTCCTTTTACGTGAATTACAAAAAGGAATAAATGCCATGGATGCTTATCTAGCAGAAATCCAAAATTCCAATGC